CACTGAAAAATTCTATTACTTTTATAGTTTCATTGTAGAGTAAATACCTACCTACACAGTTATATAATCGGGTGAATCTAAAATGCGTACCTTTTTGATGTAAATTGAGTCCCGAGTATTTGTTGGGTATACGTATATTGCGTTCCGGATATTTTTATGCTAAAATGTATACGAGTCGTATAATACGACCAATTTACAACCAATATTTTCCTTCCCATTTTATCAGACTTAGGGCTCTCAACAATACTGTTCTAATGTTGGTATTGTTAAAAATATTGGTAATTAATTATTTACTTATTATTATTTATTAACATTTTGTCTTATATTTATTCTATTTTCCCAACCTTATCCCAACAACTTGGTTTACCTACTTTTCCGACAAAATACAGTTCAACTAAATACGGTTACGAAATAATAAGTACCAACCGTTTAATTTACAAACGAAAACGTTTTTGAAAAATAACTTTTTAAACAGAATACGTTTTCGAGAAAATACAGTTCCAGATAAATAAAATTCAGAATATTATCGTATTCCGGATTATATGTTCCGACACATTTTATCATTTTGTAATATAATATTATAGCTGTCCATTATTCAAATTTATATTTTATCTTCTCATTTAATTTAATTGGTTCGGTATGACGCAATTCTATATAAGTGTTGAGCCATAAGATCTAATATTGTATGATAGTAGGTGCATGTGTATTATTATTATTTTTATATATATACGTACACCTTAACTTCTAAGATTATTAGTGTTTCTAAAGATGGACCATCAAATTAATGTTTTATACAAATTATTTTATATATGATCCATGAATGTTTAATTTATTTTATAGTAGGTAGTGAGTTATTATAAAATAAACTACAGAGTACATATATAAATGCATTATCATTAGGTACAATATTTGATTTATCTATAACAACCTATATTGTTTTACTTTCTAATTTCTACTACTATTATACTAAATTTATTACCAAGCAATTTATGTTACCATTTTTTTGTATCATACTATGTATAAGTTCACACAAATTTTTGTAGTGTCCCACACGTAGTTTTGCATTATTAAATAGGTGATACCGCGACCACTTCTGAGTGCTGATAGACTTACACATTATAGTCGATATATTACATATTGACCACTAGGTATTTACATGCTGAGTATATGTTATCATGTGAAATAACTATCTAGTTTGATACTGGGTCTTAAGTTTATTTTGAATAACTTCACAAATTCGGAATTTTTAATTTTTCTTATCTTTTATTGCAAAAGTACATAATTTACAGGTTTTCATTGCATTTAATATACAGTCCTGTTAAAAAAAAATCGCAAACGTTGGTTGTTCATTTTTGGCAAAATAAACATCCATTGGGAATGTTCATAATCTGGTTAGGTATGAAGACGTAGTACTTATTAATTTTTAGTTATTTCCATTCATAATGAGTAAAATCTTTCAATATACCTACACAATACATTTGATTTAAATGGGAATAACATTCCAATACTAACATTATACAACAAGTTGATATAGAATAAAATATTATTAAAAATCAATTACGTGACTTATAATAATTGAAACTAAACAATAATCATACATATATATAATATATATACATGTACATACAATAATTATTATTGTATAAGAATTATTTTTTTTTTAAATATTAGGTAATAGGTAGCCATATACTATATACTTAAACTATAAAACTGAAATAATATGAACAAAGATTTACTTGTAATATTATTGAATTTCAATTTTGGACTAATCTATGTTTGACGAAATATTTTGATTTCCTGGACTATATATATTTAAATAAATAACGGTTATAAAATATTATTTTTTTACAAATACATAATTTGAACATGTTTTGGTACATAATATTTTATAGAATAAATAATTGCGAAAATCATAATTAATATAATAATATAATAATCACATGGGTAATGTATAAAATTAATCTAAAATGTATACTAGTACATAATTATAAGCTAACAAAAAAATACTAATAACATTATAATATAATTTAAATGGCTTACAAACTTTATCAATTAATATGTAATTATCAGCAGCATAGAATAACGTTTAAACTTATTAGTTGTTATAATAATATAATATAATAACGTATATAATAAATATTATTACAGTAAATAAATGTATATATACATGTTTATTCAAAGCATATAATTACTATTGTATACTATTGTTTATGTCACCTGGTGTGAATTAGGTATTTATGTATAATACCTATGGTGTATATTAATATCCAAGTTCAGAATTAAATAAAAGTAGTTATGTAATATCGTTTAAAAATTGGTTTACAGTTTTTTCGAACCACGTAAAACTACAATAATTATTTATTTGTACATACGAATTGGTCTTAAATGGTGACTAGATAATATATTCTCTTGTGATAATTTGAACTTGAAAGCTACCTATAATTAAAATTAAAGGAAACGTAAGTATGGATAAAGTGAACAATTGTATTATTATTCTAACAGCTTAAATGATAGACTCGTTAAGTATAGCAATATGTTTAATATAATATATATAATATATAGGTACACTATGTAATATAATATATAATTACAAATTTGAAAAAAAACGTAGGTACAACAAAAAACGATTTTCCAATTAGCAAAACCGTTTCAAACGCGATTCTGCCTATATTATAATGTTTACCTACAACGGTTTTAATAATAAGAAAAATAGAACCACGTTATAATAATAACAGCTATAGTAAAATAATAATAATAATAATAATAATAGTAATAGTATAGTCTCATTATTTGTTGAAAGTCAAAAAAATCAATGTACCTACCCGAGATCAACATTATATGTTTAATTGGTGAACGTGATGGCTGATGATAAGTGGGAAAGACTAGACAGCGACTAAAATATATAATACAACATATTTTATGTGTATAATATAAAATGATACAATATAGCACGGTATTATAATGATTACAATGATTAAAATAATTATACAAAAAATAGTATTAATGATATTATAAATTTGATCGATGGTTCAATAAATTATAATATTATAATCCAACATAGTATCAGAAGTAGTTGTCTGATATTTATAATATTGTAGTCTCTATTATATTTGTATTATATATATAAATGATAATAGATAATAAGACTATTTTCGTGGCCGCGAAAGGTCACGAGCGTGCAGACAAAACTAAGCATCTCTCCTCTCGATTGTATATTATATTATATATGTGGCTTATAATCTGATATTCCGAGAAAAAAAATTATTATAATTATATCTGATAAAAAAGTTCTCCAATAACGATGGTCTCACTATACATGACGAGTCTCTTAAATGTATAATCAAACGTGGTAATAGGAAAAAACGAATTAATGAGCTTCCTTTCATTATCCTAAAGCCAGATCATGTACACATGTTTTCCATTAGTTACGATCCAGAGTTATTTTATTTTACTGCGTTTTTCAGGAACGACCGTAACATAATATTATAATATAGACACGATAAATGATAATGAATCGTTAGATGTATACAGACAACGATATTCTTGACGTGTTAAACTCGTTATTTGATTGTATACTATCATACACATAAATTCTTTTATAAACTTTTAAATATTCTTTTTATAATAGTCTGCTCGCTGCAATTTAATATAGTTTTAGATATAAGTTTATAGTACAATATGCTTAGGTATCAATTGGATACCTTCTCTTGTGGTTCCGTTGTACACAAAACTTCACCATAATTTGAATTTTACTCACCGCAATATTTGTATTTTTTTACGAGATAAAAATGAATGACGTGAAGAATTTGAATGTGTAAATTTGAAATTTCGATTGCCCGTTTGTGAAAACACCGATGTATGATTTCCCTTTGTCTAGGTAGTCATTTGAAAAGCGGACTTACAAAAAAGAAACATTTGAAAGAAATATTGGAGATCACCGCAATATGCTTCACATAATTCATCTATTTAGTTTTAAAACCTAGTTTATGCCACAAGACATATGGTAGAATTATAATTATATTTTTAAAATGGAAAAAAAATCATAATAATTCTGAAAAAGGTGTCAAGTGTTAAATATATATGGTGGAGCAACACGTGTGCAGTTTACGGTCTCTCGGAGGGTAGCTATACAAGATCCCAATATAAATTATAGTACATTGGGGGTGTTTAAAATACGTGCTTTTAGGACACGGATGAAAAAGATAATTCTTTGACAAGTGTCGTTCCAAGAACATACAATACAGACGATCCATACACGGTACACCTTAGAATAATATATCGTACCGTTGTCAAGAGTAAAATATTTACGGTCCCACGGGGGGTGGTCATTATAATAATGTTCAGAAATCGTGTTTTAAAAGCGTTATAGAAAATATGAAAACCTTCGAGGCCGAGAAATACATAAAATCAATTTATAAAACCATATAATAAGAAAAAAATATATATATATACACAGGTCATATAAAGTGTCTAAATGGGTCGTACCGGCACATGATATATTAACCATGTGCAGACATTCAAAATTGGTTGGGTCGGACGAAAACCCCTCGGGGCCGGCCGCATCGTGTCGGAAAATATGTTAAAACCTTTGAGAAAAAAATAACAATAAATCGAAGGGACAAACAAATGTTGGAAAACCATATAATATAACCTATAATAACCTATAATATAATACGCAGTAGATAGTATACATTTTATGTTAGTGTCCCGCCGCCAGCCGGGTGCATTGTGTGATGGTTCTGGCGACAGTCGGTGAGGGTCCGATACAGAGGGTGTGGAGAGGAGGGTGGACAGACGGACCAAACGACGGGTGGTCAAGTACACACGTGAATCGGCTTAAAATAAAAAATACCGCATTCCACAGAAAAAAATAAGTAACACCAGATTTTCATTTCATATAACGATAAATATATATAAACGATTAGAGTGGAGTGTACGCCTATAGAATATAATCAGCGTCTAAGGTCGGATTATCTGATGAAATAAAATATGTTATATTATTATATATTGTGGAATAATGGTTGCAAGCCGTATATTACCGTAAATTTCGTACGGGATGAGCGGTGGTGGAGGGGTGTGGAGTGTAGACCTGTCTTGCGACCCTTATTATACACGTTCACAGCAGACTCTGCTGTAGGGCGTACCCCCTCCCCACAAAACCGTCATCGGTGATCCTTATAACGGAGGCCATGAACTCAGATATAGAGGGCTCGACATGAGGATTGATAAGTTTTCTTAAAAGTATGTACCGTGATGGTCTTATGGGCGGATTTCACCTTTTGGCTACACGGTAAGTATTTATCTACATATTATAATATGATATCTTATCCGGTGCAACAGACCGATAGCGGGAGCACTGTATAGTGTTGCAAAGAAAGGCAAAAAAAAAAAATACTGTAAGTCTGCCAACCTATCATAGATAAGATTTACTTGGATAAGACATTTTTATAATAAATATACACGCAGTGGTGGCCAGTGCTATAGTGCTATAACCGATTCACTAAAGGACGTGAACAAACCAAAAAAGAAATGTTTATTTATGTATAATAAACTAGGAATTGCAATTGTTTTTATCACTTATTAGTTATTGTTCATATATAGAAAAAATTATTTGTAAAAAGAATAACGTTTTTGCAGCTTTTGGCCTTGAAAAGTATGCCTGGTAACGATTCGATAATTGTGTAAAACGCCAAGTCGTTGTGCACCGTTGGACTATTTAAATATTATATACATGCACCCAGACGTTGGACTTAAATATTTCGGGACACAATAAATATATGCATAATTTGTGATATGCCTTAGCGACAATCTTCAAAACGACAACGCCCTACAATGTATGTTATTTTTATTTTGTCATTCTAAAGGTTTAAAAAAAAATGTAATTATATTATTATCGGTAAGTATGTAAATAATTTTATCGACACACTTCATATTTTCATAAAAACGTTCGTGCAATACCCAACTCACTTGATCCGGGTTCGAAAAATATACTAGTTACCATAATGGTTATATTACAAGGGTGTCGTTTATGATAAAATAAACATTTTATCAATCCACTGTCTGTCAGATTTTGTATTAAGTTAATTTCAATATTATAACTTTTTTTAACTTTTACTAACCTATCATTGTAATGACTATAATTAATATAATTTGTCATAAAGTTGACATTCCACATATTATTATTAACAGTAGTGTTGTTTATTAATACATAATACCACAACCTCAATTTCATGTAACCGCTTTATGGTAACTAGTATATAAAAGTGGGTTTCATCATAGACTTTCGCGTAAATTCTTTGCTATGATTAGTTGGTTAAGTTACCACCCGATTAACCATGTTACTGTGTTGTAGGACATAGCTGAACTTTTTTCGAGTACACGGCACAAGTGTTTAGTGGAAACCCACCCTAAGAGCACGTCGCATGTGTTGCCGCCGTCTTACACACGTATGACTACCAAACTTTTCGTTCACTGGTTTCAATGGTGTGCTATTAGTTTTGATCTCAGAGCGAATGGACCTAACATCAAAACTAACTGCACACTATTGAAACTAGTGAACGATCATGTGCAGAAGACGGAGCTATATGAGAATATTATTATAGTATGCTCTTCGTTCTGACTTATGTAAACGCGATTCGTGTACTATCCACGTGTGCATTATCTATGCGCTGTACACATTTCGAGAGAAACACCACCCCGCACGCCCGCCAATCGTTTCGCGACGATCCCTCTGTATATTATTATCTTAGTTGGTCGACGAGTCGCGTCGTCACTGTCGCCCCGACGAGTTCCTGCGCGCCGCGAACGACGCCGAACTGCCGAACTGCGACAGCTGCAATCCGTTGGCCGCCTGCGCCGACGCCGTTGCGCTGCTGTGCGTCCGCGTGCTGGTGTGGACGGCGGCGCCGAAGTTGTTGGGCTGGCACGACGACGAGAAGCTCGGGTACCGGTGCGGCTCGCGGACGCCGAACGCCCGGACGAACCGCTCGCGGGCCGGCTCGGGCGCCCGGGCCAGGAGCAGGTTGAGCACCGAACGCTTCCAGCAGAATATGAAGAACACGAACACGCCGCGCAGTGAGTTGATCGCGTCCGTTGCGTACCAGTAGTAAGCGGGTGCCTCGACCGCCCACGAGATCACTTCGAAAACGAAGGTCACGCCCATCAGGCAGAACAGCTTTAAGTACAGCGACAACCTGCGAACACGACACGATGATGACAAATCAACAAACCACGCCGTTTGAGGGGGGTGGGGCCTAGGGAGCTTTTCGGACACCATTTCCCGGAGTGGAAAAGTTCACCCTACTAGTAGTGTCAACCGGCCAAAACCGACATACGAGTGGAAAATCTACAAACAATTTAGCTTTCATTTCACTTAAATATAAAATACAAAGATATTATGATTACAATATAATTACATGTATAATATAATATAATTAATGTATAGGTGATAGCAGCTAGTGAAATAATACTGTCTGTAGTCTTCGTGAATAGAACTACGTCATAATAATTAGTGAGAATAATTATTGTTCGTCAACTATGCACGCTGAGCCATTCTGGAGTAAAATTAAATCACCAATTTAATGAGGTTGTCATTCACACATCACCACTCTACGCGCAGTGAGGCAAATAAGACCAGCGTCCAGCGACCTATATTTTTCACCCGGTCACCGGACACGCACACACTTAACAACATATTTTACGCCATCTATTTGGAATGCGAGGAGGAAAACTGACCTCTTATTTTTGAATCTCTAACTTTGATTCACTCTTATTTTTCTATGATTCCAGTAATTGTGTCTGACCATTGATCTACTATATTCACCTCTTTGCCAGATTCACGCTACAATAGATAAAATTATTATTGTTTAATTATAATATTAATGTAGGAACAGAGAAGACGCATATTATTCAAGTATTATATATCGTTGGTCAAGCAATGCCATTTTATTTATTATATTTCCATAACTGTTACATTATTATAGCTAAATATGAAGATATGTGCCCTTATAAAGTAGAACAATTTCTATAAAGCCATAAGTGCTACAGTTTAATTTATATTCTTTAGATCAATTGATATTTATCATAATATGTAATTAATGTAATTATATTTCGTATTATATTTCGTATTATTATACATTAATACCAATTGTAACCTAGTATTGTAAATTATATTTTTGTGTTGCTGAAGATTAAACTAGGTATTTCATAAAACTTAGAGGACCGGATGTCGATGACTTTTACATATTTTTTTAATATCATAGAAGATGATTTCCTAGATTAAAATGAGTTTCAAAAACATCCGTCAATCTGTACAGATAACTGTAATTTTTAATTTTACTTTTTTTTAACAATTAAGAGAATTTCTACGAGTTCATTACTATAATTTTATATTTGTTTAACTCTTCAAAATATACAGTTATGAATATTTTAATTTTACTAACATATTATTACGAAAAATACCTTAAATACAATTTTTAATTGTTTCCTAAATTAAAACAGGGATAAGTAAAATTTAAGTATTTAAGTCATTAATATAATAAACGATTTTCTAGGAAATTTTTTCTTTTGTATAAATGTATTTTTTAGTTAATTTGAATAGGTTTTTTAGAGCACCAACATCCAGTCCCTATAGTAATATATTTATTTTTATTAACTGTCATATTTTTTACCATTTACCAGATTTAAATTCATTTATTTATTGTTTAATTATTACTCTTTCATTGTTTATAAGCACACTCATACACATACACATTACACATGAATCCCATATCACTACCTACTTCCAACCATTGCTTATCGATCTACAGTACACGACACACGACACACACACACACGCGCGCGCGCGCGCGCACACAAAATAATGCACTCGATCGGTGCATAGTATTTTGATGACGGTTTTTATTTTCAAGGTTTATTTTTTTATTTTTTCCGTCTACCCTACAATAAGATCTGCAGATAAAAAAAATACTAAACCACAATGGACTAGACGGTTCAAAATAGTTTTGAAATCACTTTTACATAAATTACGATAACCTATCAAATCTATACCCCCATAATACCGAACTCGTGTAATTTTAAATGGATTTTTAATGTATTGTGTTAATGTCTTTGAAACGTCCACGATAGAATAAATACAAATGTACCTATAATATTTAGGCAGGTGAAATATAATATTTGTCTTTTGTGGCGGCAGACTGTCGGCGACCCAAGGGTGGGTTTCGTGTTTTGTTGTACAGGTATACGAGTTTTTATCATATACATATTTATGGCGTCGGTACCTAAAGACAGGATTTTGAAACAGGACCTCTTTGTGTGCGTGTAGATCTCTATGTTAGATATTTTATTTACAAAATGTTTATTATATGTTTGCTTAAAGTTATATTTTTACTTATTTGAATAACCATAACTTTAGAACACCTTATTTTCATCCATCCGTTAATTACAATTACAACTGTTGATATTAAGATATTTATTTATTCATAAGCCATTAAGTATAATATTGTTCTTAGTTACTATTAGTACATAGTTATATTGTCTGTATTAAAATATTTAATAACGATTGTTAATATTAAGATAATTACTTGTTTTATAAGTATTTAGTATACAATACTATTTAAAATACACCACCAAAATATTAAGGTTATCAAATTCTTTTTCAATTGTACTTAGAATTATAGTTTATTATTTTTTATTAAAAACCGCTTGGAAACGAAGAATTACACATACAAATAGGTTGGAAAATAGGTTCTTTTGTTTTACCCGAAATATACATGTAAAATATAATGTACAATCATCATATCGGCATCTATTGAATATTTTCATTCAAGCCGTATTTACTTAGGTTCTACAGATGAGCAACTCAAGTGCATCAATAATTATTTTAAATTATAGAGTAAGTGCTTTTCGTTATAATTTAGTTAAAGACGACAGGTTAAACAAGTTATGTGAAAGTTCTTAAAATTATGATATTTAAAATTTTTTAATTTCCGTGAGTTACATTTGGTACCAAAATAAAAAATATTATTAAGGCTTTTTGATTTGTATTTTTTAATTATATCATATTTATAATTTGTATAATATTAAATAATTTTAATATTCATATTAGTGGATTTACATTGGCATTAGGCAAATAGCAAAAGTGTTATTATGACGTATTATTGATTTATATTTATATATTAATTTAATTGTGCAAATTTTTTTTCATTGTATATTATTAATATTGTTTAATATTTTTTTTTTTTGTCCGGGGAAAATTTGTCTCGTTTATGGGGAAACATCCATTAGGTATATCGGGACTCGGGAGCGAAAAGTCTTGGGGGAGGGGGAAGTCTTAGATCCGTTGAAGTCTGAGCCTGTTATGGTGGTCTTTCAGTAACCAATATTCAAATTCTAAGAATACGAATTATCTACTATACACGAAACAGATATTAAGATATATAAATTAAATTTATTATTATTATTATCAAGTTCAAACTTTATTATTTATATATTACTATTTTCTATAATTATTATCAAATAGATGAATTAGTAGATCTATGAAATTTGTCTATTATTGACTATGAAATCATGTTATTTTTTAACTCTTACCATACTTTTTGTATAATATAGTTCAAAATTGAACATGACAACATTGCAGAGTTATTATGTATAATTGAATATCCTTGAATACGACGACAAATTTGTTCAATCGTGTCATAAAAAATGTGTTTAGTGGTCAGTCGTGTTGCGTGTTGTAGCCCGGTAGGTAGTTAAAAAGGTTGACGAAAAAACGGGCCCGTTATTAAAATCATATAAAAAACATAACAGTAAATTTACATTTTAGTGACATAATATTAATTAAAATATAATACAATTAAGCCATTTTAGTGGAATCATGGAAAAAAGCCGACGGAAAAAGTCCACCGAAAAAAAATTAAATATAAATATGAACACATGTATGCATATTATATTGTGTTATTAGTTATTATTTGTTTTATATTAAGTTATTAGGTAGTTAATGCTATTTAGAGCCTACAGTCAAGAAACATCAGTTTTAGCCATTGTAGGTATATACCACGTGTATACAAAAATTACACAACAATAAAAATAATAATGAAATAAGTCAATACAAAACATGTGGTAGTACCTATAATATTATTTCGTTGCTCAAATTTAATACAGGGGGAATGGACAATCCATACATTGTACAAAAACGGTCTTACTGTTTTTTTTTATTATTGATCTTACTAACATCGGCTTCTAGGCCATTAGTTATTATTATTATTTATGATAATTACCTGTTATCTATATTATGTACTATAATTGTATAATGTTTTTTTCGAACTATAGTTAACGAAATATTTGATTAATACAAAAAAGTAAAATGCCATGGCACTCGCATGGACTTTTATTTCCGTTGGCTTTACTAGAGGAAAATTGAGTGTTTATTTATTCTCAACTAATATAGCAATTATAGGGCATAATATAAGGCTGAAATCAGATTAAATGTATATGTAATTTTGTCAATGTAACTTTTAAAATTAACCTATACACCAGTAACATATGAAATATTAAATAATGTACTCACAAATAAAAATAACAATTATCAATTAACAATTAATGTATAATTTCGTTCTTCATATAATTTTATTAACAGGTACTTTTCCAGGAACGTTTTTACTGGAGACTTTCGCCGTTATTTTATTACATATTATATTACTAGTATAATTAGTACATACATGGTATAAGTACACACTTTTTAACAAATATATTTATAAAAAAAAATAAATTTTACACAGGCTACGCCGTATGGGAGAACTAGTAACACCGTGAAAAACCCTCTCAGACTCGACGGCGAATATACAGCAGTGTGTTTCTAAAATCTGGAGATTCTATATTTTTACGGCGCAAAATATCCTAGACGGCTAGACTTAGATACTAAGTATATAATTGTTGATAATTTGTATTTTCGTTATTACATAACTGTTGATTATAATTTTTACTATGATTACTGATAAGCTCAAAAAAGGCAAAAAGAAACATTTTATACTATTCAAAATATAGTAAGCCATAGACATGATATTAGTAATTAAAAATGAGCAGGGGCGAGTGCAAGGGGTCAATGGGTAAGTAGAGAAAGACGCCAAGACGGTCATCCGATGGCGGGGCGATAACAAACAAGTAAAATAGGTATTGTTATTTTCAGGTGCATATTTTTAATCTTCTACATAAGGAAATAATAAATTATGTAGTAAGCCATAATGGAAGAATAGGAATGTTTTTAGAAATCACTTTTACATTTGATATACGATAACCTTATTTACTGCTGTTCACTCAAATGCATGGGACCTTTTCTGAACATCATTCCTTCGTTTTGATAATATGTTTCTTTTGTGAGTATTATGTTAGTTTCTTTGAACTGCCTGTGAATAAATATATTTTAACGTATTGATGGGTCAAAGATACGTCTTGAATGGTGACACTCTGGCGGGCGGAAACGACTCGGTATGACAAGGGTCGATAATATATTGTTATAGCGGTCGAAAGCGTTATAGAACTGGTCCCAATGTATCTTGTTTTTGGAATAATATTATATTGCTTTGAGTGGAATTTCTTTAGTGCATTATTATAGGTATTGTAATATATATATAGTTGTAATCGCTATTCACCCTCTTATCGGTATATTTTCATGGGTTTATATTTTATAATTGGATTCCAAGAACCTGACCTTCGGCTTGATGTACATTTTACACAAAAAGTGTGTGGCGTGCGAACCCTCCTATAGTTTACCCAGCACATTGTTAAGAATACCAGACTCCCTGCGGCCAGCATACCGCACACGTCGATGTACAACCTTTAAGCTGAATTCTATAAGTACCACACGAGGTCCAACACGTGACCGACATAATTTGAAATATACATGTAGTAAAATGTTAGAACGTAAAGTTGTAGGAATTCTATTTTACATCGTACAAGATTTTATTATAGAATTGGGTAAAAATTGTGTTTGAATCAATGTAATGTAATTGAGTAAAATGCATGTACATTTTTGATTTTGAGTTTTGCTTTTTAAATGGTGATCGAAATTTCCAATTGGTACCTATATACACATAGTTCCTTATACCAAAATATTATTAAAAAAGATGTGTGACGTCTGTATCGCGGTAATTAAAACGTGCCAATTATTGAACAAATATATTTTTTAATTTTAATAACTTAGTGTAATTACCAACATTATTAATATTTAGTTACAATAATATATACTTATAGTGTAGTAATATATACTTACAATTTAGAAAATATTCAATTTTTATAGCTAAGGATTGAAAATTTAAATATTACAAACCTACGTTTCTTATAATGTTTTGACTATAATGGAAATAAAATATTATTAGGAAGGGTTTTTACAAGTTTTACTTTATATAGACAAAAGAAATATTTAAAATATTATGAAATTAAAATTAAAATAATTATCAAAGAATAGTTAATGAAGGTAGGTAATCAAAGAAAAAAAAATATTTCGAATACGTCAAATAATAATAACAAAATAACTATCAAATAATAGTCAATTAATTTAGGTAGTTACTCACAGTTAAATTTAAAAACATAATATTATCATTTCAAATGATCGTTTACTTACGTCCAATAATATGTTAAAGAATACAAATAATAAAATAATTATCAAACAATTGTTAACCCACTATTGATTATTAGATTTTCTCCTAATATTGTGGCTTACCAAATTCAAAAGATTTGGAATATTTATTTTGCCACTCACAAACTTGATACAAAGTTCAATAATTTGCATGTGTTTGTTTGGGTAATATTGTAAGTAGTCTGGGAATTTTTTTTCCGGAGTTGTTCGCCTGGAGATTTTTATTCCAAAATTTGTGTACCATTCAGGTTTTTACCTATTTACTTCACAAATGTTCTAGATGTATAGTTTTAAATCGAATATTAATAAAGTAACATGATGTAAGACGTGGAGTCGTTTTATGTAATTTCCAGTTGTAGTAAAATGTGTTATTAAAAAACAGTGAACAAAATGTGTTAAGAATAAATAATTGTATAATTGTCTAAAGTAGATACATATTAACATAAAATATATCATCATATTAGACATGTGTAATTTAAATCGAGATGAAAAAAGTCCTAGGAATTAAGTCCGAAATAGAAAAGTCTGAAGCCTAAAAGTCCTGTTTCTATACACATATATATTATAAGAATAATTAAAATAAATAGTTTTAAAAAAATGCAATGATTATAGTTACTAAATCAATATCATATAAAAAAAAATTGAATCAACTATTCGTACAAAAACAATAAACATAATACATAATAAATAATAATTTCTCAGTCTAATTTACTATCGTCCTAAAAAATAATTTGATGTAAAAAAATGTATATCATTTTTGTTTAGGCCTCGTCCTAATATTATGACAAATTTCTCTTAGTAAAAACAATTGAACTTCGGCTGGTACCTATTATTTATATAACCAACGAACTATATTGAATTAATGAGTACTGACAAAAATGACAGCTATATGCAAACCTTCCTAATACCTATAGACTATAGATATCTCTATATCTATATGTACCAGATAATTAAGATAAAAGTATAATAGTATATTTTGATTATTGCAATTCGAGCAGTGTTCAGAACCCCAAAAAATTAGTTTTACTTATACTCAGCTATAGAGGTATCACTTACTAGTTATGATATTTCCTATATTGGTAACAACTATAAGATTATATTATTTTGTTAATTTTATTTTATCTGATAATTACATTTAATTACAATTTGTATTAATATTAGTACTAATTGGAACGTTAGTTGTCCATCACATAGCGTCGGACTTTTAAACCACGGACTTTTTGGTTGTCTACCCTATAATTTATGTGTAAATCATGTGTTGAGCAATAAAACAATTTATATTGGTCCAACCGCATGCCGGAATGCAAATTGAATCAAGCAATTACAATAATAAAATAGAGGAATATATTAAATCGTTAGGTATTATTTCACAATTGAAAAAAAGACGTAATATTGGCTATTTTTTTTCTATGTACAAATCGTATGTAATTAATACACCTATAAATAATAATAACACTATGATTTATGTCAGACGTGAGTATACGTAAAGCTATACTCGTAATTTAATAAGCAATAAAAATAAAAATCCGCGTTCTTCCTATCGGTTTTAAGAAAAATTAAATAGGACTATTTTTAGTTAGATCTTCTTCGCCCCACTGCAACAGGCACTGATGTTTTAAATATAAAAAATAACAAGATTTCAAACTTATTTACCTCATATCATTGTGGTTATTTTGACGATTCAATACTTTTGACGTACCCCTTCGGATGAACACAATTCTAAAAGCAGTGAACAAGAACAGTATAAAATTGGTCGATAGGAGTAACCCAATTGGTAAATAAAAGAATACACCGACTGACAACTTATCTGAAAAACAAAAATGAATAATTAAAAACAAAAACATTAATAAACACTTGGTTAACAGTATTAAACAAAAGCAGTGCACGCCTTTCGATCGAATTATTGTTTTTATCACATCGAATCGCATTTTGCTGGGCACTTAATCTTTTTATATAGATACTCAATAGAGTTATACATATTACGTACTAGAAAACCAGCAATCATAATTGCCAAAATTTGGTTTATAACTACTATCGCCAAATAATTTGGTGAATTCCGCGATAGCTGTTAAAATTGTAATTCCAATGCTACAGCCCCACGCATAAGCTGAATAAATAACATATTTTTTCTTCTCGTTTTCAATTTTATTTGAGGACAAAAGTAGTCTGAATCCACTGTAATAAAACGTACATTTATGTATAATTTATTAAAAAATAAACTTTATTTACATTTTCGTATAATTGATATAAATGTTATACTGACCTAAATGTCCATGCGATGTCTGCACACATGACGTTTAGCCAGAAAAATGCTGCAAGGAATGAAAATTGTATGACGAAACCTAAACAAAAAAAAATGTAGCAATTTTACGAAACATTAATATTGTATTCGACAGCATTTTTATGCATAATAATATGACACTATGCAGTGGCTCAAGTATTTCATAAGAAAAACGATAAATTAGTACCTATGTAAAGTATACGCTATACATTGTATACATATAAATTAATATAAGCCAATCAAATTCTCTATTGAAAACTAGTTTTTCATTTGTGGTTAAATACCTATTACTTTTAAAATTAATTATTTCGAGACAAAATGTGTTGATGAATATGTTAATAGTAAAATTAAGCTTCTAGATACTATAATATATTTTATTAACTTATAAAACGTAAATTTAAGAAAATTAATTACATACATTAGATGATTAGACATTAGACAAACGTATTTAAATAAACAATTATTATTATTATTTTTAGAATAAAAACATGACGCGCGTATCAATCATTAGTTGCGCATTATTTAATTTATGCAAATAAGTTATATTATAAGCTTAAATATATTAAATACTTAATATCACAATAATCAATAGGAATGAAATAGGAAATAGGCGAATAAATAAAGTCATATTTTTTAATTTTCAATTGTTCAAACAAAAGTGGATACCAGTACTCAGTAGGTATAATATGTCATTAATAATTAACGGTAAATACAAATTTACCCACTTATCACTTATGCCGAGTTTCATAATAAAATGTATTGATTTAAATCAATTTTCTTTTTGGTACTTTTCCGATATACTTAATTATTGTTAGGTATATTATATACCTAATAGGTTACTTAACATACTTATTATTGGTGACGGCAAGATAACAAACCCGATTGGCAGGGCTAAAGAGTTTTCACACACCAGAGTGAGGATATAACAAACCAGTAACCCTTTAAGCTTAAAAAAATATTGGAAATAAAACTAATATTCAATGTCGTGAATTAAAATAAATTATGAGCGACATCGACAATAAACAGAAACATATTCCGAAAATTAATAATACGTTATAATATTTTATATCACATTGCACTTCGATTACACATTTTAAACATATTATTTACTATGCATTATTACTTATTTAATCATGCTAAATTTAATTTTTCATATCTCCTATTGGTTTCAAGGTTCATAAAATATCATCGTTTTGATACAAACATTATTAGGTACATGTTTATTTTCACTCTACTTATAAAACTAAAATTATTCTTCGACGTCATGATTTTACACTTCCCACTTCCATATGACTTCACAAATTATATCCTGTAAATCAATTATGATTTGGTAGTTTTAGTTATTTCACCACAGATTCATGTTTTAATTGAATTATGTGTTCATCTTTAACACATTTTAAATTCTCAATTAACTATTAAGTTATTATTGTTACAAAATATAAATTTAGTATTTAGGAGATAACTTTTAAAATAGATTAAATTAATAACTTACCTAATAATAATTACAATTTACAGTTTTTTACATGATAAGGACCTTTTTCAAAATAAAATAAAAATATTTAAATATGATACAATTATGTACCTACCCACCTATTCAAAATATATAGTAAAGGTGGTAACTGGTGTCTGTGTCTGGTACCTATCTAATTATTAGGTAGGTATATTATTCTGAATACCTATCATAATGTTCATGCAATCGTGCGTATTTATTTGTTGTTTAAAAGAAATTAACCAACGACCTATAACTTATAAGCACCTATTCTTCGGGAAATAAAAGTAAATGTAATATTTAATTAAAAAAATCAATATTATAACGTTGTTCAGAGAAGTTAGACGAATAACAACCTGCCCCAAATATACAAAAGTACCTAATACCTACGCTAGAAAGTAATAAACTAATAAACAATTGAAAATCTTTGTTGCGAGTCACTGCTATACGTGTATAAATGTATAATATTATATACATTATACACACTTCTCACTTAAAATAATTTATTAGGTAAATACTTATAAGTTATAGCATAATAATTTATTGTTTACATTAGATTTAGATACATTGTTAAAAATTAGAATTGATGTTTTTGTTAAAGTTACTATTAAAAGTCTTAAAGAAATTTAAGTTACTTCTAATACTCATAGACCTACAAAGCTATACACTAAATACTATGCTCATTGCTCGTTATAGTTTATCAATTAACACGATTAAAAAAAAAAATGTAAAAATGTAAAATGTACAAAAATCCAAGCAGTGAGTGTGAAATATTAAGATACATATTAAATGGGTCATTAGCATAGAAGCATAAAATCTGGAAATCCTTCCATCGGCCCGGCTAGCTCAGTCGGTAGAGCACGAGACTCTTAATCTCGGGGTCGTGGGTTCGAGCCCCACGTTGGGCGAAAATTTTTTTCTTAGTTTTCATTGTTAGACATTAAATTCTGATATCTATTTTTTTTATTTCTTTGTCTATATCTTTTTGTATTCACGTAAACAAATAGATAATTGAAAAAATGTCAACAAATAAATTTGCTCTAGGTCAAAAAACTTAAAATAGTAATACAAGATTCCTCTAAATTGTTGTTAATGGAAACTAAAAAAAATTTGAGCGTAATCCACTTTTTATAAGCGTTTAAATTCGAAATTTTACAAAATACGTAAAGAGCACGACAATTTGCAAAATTATTTTAAGTTAGAAATTTATAAAAAATTATTAGAAATACAAAATTTATCATAAGTAGTTTGTCACCTTTATCAAAAAAAGTCGACTGGTACCTAAATTAAAGTAAATTTTTATGAGCGTTTGAACTTTAAAATTCGAATTTTGACAAAATTTATCAAATTGAAAATTTACAAATATCTACACAGTTTTTTTGATAGTTTTTTTGAGTTCAAATTTGAACGAAATTACTTATTAAATAACCAAAAATAATGATTTAAATTATTTTGTTGTAGTTTAAAAATATTAATTATTATTTGTGGGTACTTAAAACTTTTAAAGTATACTATTTTATTTTATACACACAATTACTTTTCAAATGTAATTGTTTTGGCAAAAATTAATATAACCTATACTGTAGTACTAATGCCTTATACTAAAATAAATTACTTTAATCACAATTATATTATAAAATATACTACATGACTGAGTAATATTATAGGCGAACAGACCGTCTTCGCTCTAAATCGTTTTTCGTATGCAATGATTTTGTATTAACACCATCCATTACAGTGACCCACTTGTAAGCTGTAACCCACTGTACAGCAGAACGACATCCACTTACCCGCTTTTTTGAATTATGATTGTTAAGTGCTACAATGATCAGATACTGAGATGCACAAATGACTAGATACCTATCCACGGAACCTGTCTAAATGTTATTAATTACGCCTATAGGTTTAATATTATTAATTTCAATAGTAGAGTAGTAACCTCTATCATTGTTTTTAATTATTTGCATACAATAGGTATGATAAATATATTTAACATGCTACGAATTTCATATTTTCACAAAGTTGAGAGTTAATATCATAATGTATTGTACGGATTTGTATTTAAAAAAAATTATGTGTGTACAAAAACATATGTTAAGCACAGTAATTGGAAAAAAAATCTCCAAGCTATCAAAAAAAATTCCCATAACCTATCATTATGCTGGAGATTGTCGGGCACGTTAAATTTGATTAAATATAAATAATTTATAAGAATTATTTCATAAATTATATGCTAAAAATACAATTAAGGGGACGCCACACTAACATGAGTTGTCTCTGTCTTACAAACGTACAACATATACCATAAATGGTTTTTCACGGGATAAAACCACTCAAGCTGTAATCCATGCTAAACAACCAAATTTTCACACTAAACATAAGAGAACATTTACTGTGCAACATTGTTTTTATTTTTTCGGCATCATAAATACAAAAAAAAAGTTCTTGCTGTTTAAAAATACATTATTTCAAACTTGAATAATTTTTTTCATATTTGTGATATCGAAAAAATAAATACGATGTTGAACAGTAAATGTTTTCCTCTGTATAGTGTGAAAATTTGATTGATTGGTTTGGACTACAGCCTGGGTGGTTCAGGGTTCTATCTCACTCAAAACAGTTTTTGATATGTTGTACGTTAAATGTAAGATGGACTGTTAATATTATGTTAAAAATGTATTAAAATTGTCTTAAATCCTAAGAATATAATATAAATATATATTATAGATTTAAAACAAAAAGTATGCCACGATACCGAGGGTTATAATAATAGTAATAATAATAATAATTGTACTTATACATTAAAATGAAATGTGATTATAATGAATTGCTGAAAAAAGGGCAGAAAAATTATTTATATTTGAAATGTTTCGTTGAATAAATAAAGTAAAATAGGTAAAAAAAATGTTTCTTATTAATGAGTATATAAAATTACCTATATCAGCAATCATAATTTATGAATTATTAATTACTAATTAGGAGTAGAATATAGGTACATGTATTCACATTTATATTTTACATTTTTCTGGTCTTTTTTCGGTGGTTTTTTTCCGTGGACTTTTTTTCGGACTACCGATAATAATATTACTTGCTTTTCGGAATTTTTCAACATTTATTTCATTATTTTGGATTCTCAAAGATTGCTTAGTTTATTTCGACCAAACTGTTCTACTAAAATTCTGAAAGTTTAATCTTCAATTCGTTTAAAGCACCTTATCTCTATTGTCTCCGTCCGTCCAGCCGTCCGTTAGTTACCAATGCATATAGTTAAGATTGTTGATATTAAGGTATTTATTTACTGTCCGTAGTTAGTAGTTACTGTACATAAATTGCACATTGCATACCTAAATGTATTATTGTGTACTGTATTAAACTGCTGGTAACTATATTGGACGGGCGGGCATAATATATAATGAGGATATAATATGTGTTCTAAACGTTTGTTAAGAAACCAAAAAGTTCTATTATAATAATAAATAATACATACTCAATAATGTTTGAAACAAATTAAGTACAATTATAACTTAAAATAAATACATTATCATAAACATTTCCTAAATAAAATACCTAACACAGTATAGATTTACAGCAGATCTACAGTAGCACACACACACACACACACACACACACACACACACACACAAAGCACAAAGGAGGGCCCGTTTTAAAATTCTGTCTTTGGGCACCAGCGCCAAAAAGATTTATGATTAAAACAAGTATACCTGCAGTATAACAAAATACGAAATCTATGCCGACAGTCTGTCACCACAGAAGTATGAAAGTATGAGCCACCTATACATACATTTGTTCAGCCATAGACGTTTCAAAGAGACTTTAACACAATACATTACAATTCCATTTACAATTACAAGCGTTCAGTGTTATAGCCTATAGAGATAACAGATTTCAAAGTTTGTTTCACAATGTTTTTAAATAATGCTAAGACATTTTTAAGGCTTTGATGTAAGTTGTTCGTAGATTTTATGTAAAAAGGTACCAATTTTTTGATGTGAAACATCTAATGCAGTAGGTGAGACCGGCTGTTGACGTGACCACAGAAGCAAAACATTATCAAGCCTTCAAAATAAATTATATTTTTTCTTAAAAAATCTGAATATTTTGTTTTTAATTATGTCATGTTGTGTTTCCTTTAATAACCTGCAACTTTTCAATTTTCATGCATATTTTCTACATAAAATATGTTTTATGTTTCACATCTACCAGGCATCTCTGACGGCTAATGTTTTTTTTGTCTTATCAAAAACAAAATCTACCATCATAACATTTTTAAATAACAAATAAGTATTAGGATTTGATTAAGTTTTGTTTATAAATCAAATAAATAAATGAAATAATTTTTTTTCATAAAATTATGATTTTTTATTGTAATAGGTCGAGGTTTTTTACTACTCGTTTAAGTGTGTCTGAACATTTTTCGAAGAGTTTAATTGTAAACATATTCGAGCGTTTTTCCGAACCCGAAATAAGAATAAGCCCTGCATATTATAAGTAACGACAACCACAATTTACCGGCAATGACGCATGCGCAATGATTGAACACTTGGCGGACGAGCGTAGTGGCGGCCAGCGTGGCGTATGACACGAACAGGCAGACAGTGTGCGCCATCAGGTTGCCCGAGTGGACGGTGACGCGAAGTTCGGGCAGCACGGCGTATATGAGCAGCGTGGCGGCCAGGAAAATCGTGCCGACCACGAAGTAGGCGCCGTACAGTATCTCGCGGAACTTGAGAGGGCCGACTGCGTCGGCGACACCGGCGGCCAGTCGACAGGCGAGCATCACACCCGTGTACGTGGGCGGCGACGTCTTCGGCTCGGCCTGCATCGCGTCCACGCAATAGTCTTCACGCTCGATGGGCAACAGGCCGCCGTCCACCTGCACGCGGCCGTCTGGCAGCAGACCATAGCCCGCCTGCTTTTTTGGGATCCCGTTCTCTTGTTTTATTGCGACGGCGTTACCCTTTTTCGTGTCCGCTCCGAGCAGGTACCAGCCTCGGGTACCGCAATTCGGTGGCTTCAGGCCGAAGAAGTAGAGGTCCTTACCTGTGGACGAGATAAGTGCGTTACACGAGTTGAGTACATGGGTGGGACCATTTTCCTTCAAAAATTAGATAAATACTAATTACTATAGTCTAGAAATCGGGGAGGGGCGGGCCAACCAAAAATCCAACAATTATTGTGAAGTGTGAATCCCCCACGGTTTAGGTTCATTTGAAAAATAGTAGCGGCCCCAATATTTTTAATGGAGTTTTGCCTATGCCGTTTACCTCCCCAGTTCATTTTCTTCAGAAAAAAAAAAATGGTATGAGTACTTAATACTTATTTACATTCCGTTATCGTCTACACATTTTTTAAACTAGTATCATGTCTATGTTCCCCAAATATTATTATTTTATTTAATATTAAAATTATTTATTTGTCTTATGTATGAAATTATGACATAAATTATTCGATTCGATTGAATACACACTCATTTATAACTCTGCCGATACTAACAATATATTACATTATAAATATTTTACATATTATTATTAGGTGATTAGGTTTTTATTTAAAATTATGAAAGTTCTAAATCATTATGAATGATTGATATTTTACTTTATTGTATATTGTATTGAAATGATTTTTAGTTTTAGTTTATTTCATATTTGATGTTTACCCGTACATAAAATGTTTAAAGATCAATAATTTTTGCATTTAAACCATCTAATCAAATTAATAGAAGGATGACCATTTCTTAGTTTAGTCATGCAGAATATTAAACAATGTAAGAATCAGGTGTCTGATTATGTTGGGAAATGACTACGGTTACATTTAATAAATTCAACAACCACAAAACAGCACTTACGCTAAGTTAATAAATAATAAGTAAAACAGCATAATGTTCAACACTACAGTGTAATGAATAACAATAATAATAGTAATAATAATAATAACAGTTTTTTTCATTTTTTCTCTACCTAGAATATATAATAGTAAATGATAACCTACAAGTTCGTCCCGCTAGCTTTGCGAATTCACAGTTTATCCGCTTTCTTATATATTTTAATGGACTACAACAATTTGTTTTAAGCGCATTTGAAATTAAAGGTTTTTTTATATTCATAAAAATTACGAAAATATGCAAATTTTACTCTGTGGTTAAACATTCATAACATTTTTCGTGTCAATACTTAACGCTAAGCAATTTAATAAAAGATTCTTCATAGGTTTTTTTTTTCAGGTATTTAAAAAATGTTTAGTCTCAATACATACAGGTACCTATATTTTTTGTAAGTGATTAGAGTTCTAATTTTAACGACATTGGATATTCGAATATAAGATATAACGATTTTTGTAGGTATTTTGTTGCAATTTAAAAACCATTAATCGTAGACATTTTTAACATTTCATAATTAGGAACTTAAACTATCAGTGTCTATACTAAATTACATTTAAGAAATACTTAGACTAATACATTTTTTATGAATAATTAAAGCAGGCATGTCAAACACGCGGCTCATTTTTATGTGGCCCGCGACTACCAATGTTAATGGACAAAAAAAAAAAATATTAATGTCGTATAACGACTATTTTAGATTCTTAGAGAATGGTTTATTTGGTATACATTATTATACTGTCTTATCTTCTGATAAACTATAATCGAATAAGGATTATTGATGGTTTTATATACATTTATATAATTATATCTATATAGATTATAGTTAAAAGTATTAAAAGTAGCTTCGTCAAATAATATTTCTCCCGAAATTTAAAAGTTGGTGGGAGAATAGAGATGTCAAATATTGTCTAAAAAGAATTATTAATAGGTTTTTTTTATAGTTTATACAACACCAATATATTTTCATAAATAATTAGTATGATTTATATTTTATTTAAATGTTAATGTTCATTTATTTTTTTATTTTTTTATTTAGTTGTAATTGCTGTATTCGTAAACATAAAGAATAAAATTGAAAAATTTGTACAAAATATTTATTTTTTCTCTAAATTTTTATGTGCAGCCCAAATAGTAAATTTTTCAATATATTTGGCCCACCTGATACTTTGAGTTTGACATGTCTATAAAGTATATATTTGAACAATAATGGATATTTAAATATAAATTAACGATTTATCCTTAAACATTTTTTATTATTTTGTTGCATTAAAAAAATATTAATCGTAGAAAATTGAAACTTTCCATACTAAGGTACTTAAATTATTATTTTCCATACACAATACGATTTCTATACATGATAAAAGACTTAGAATATTTTAACTCTTTTTAGAAGGTTTTATTTATTATTACCTATATTTTATGATATTGTTACTATTAAAGTAATTTATTAACTATATGTAATACAAGAGGTTAAATTAATTTTTACTGAAAATATCTCAAATTAAAATGTTATTTTGAGAATAAAATAAAATAATATATACTTTAAAAGTTTCAAGTACCCATGAATACTAAACATAAATTACAACAAAATAACTAAAATTGTTATTCTTCGATTAAATATCTAATTTTGTCCAAATTATCAAGAACTTATTAAACAATCAAAAATTCTAAAATAGTTGATTTTTTTTATTTAAAGGTGCAGGCGACTTGTTGCTAACTCAGTCCACGAGTTTTATGTTTTTTTTATGTTTATTTTGGGGGGGGGGGGGCGAGAGTAGAATAAATATGATATAAATTTTGTAGACCGCATATACTATGTACCTATACTTAGTACTATCCAAATGTTATGTTTACAGTGTGTTCTAAGGGTCCCGTATCACTCAATAATTATTTCAGTGGCAAATCAATACATCGAAATGCAACTTTTTGAAAATTTATCTACAAGTGTATAGATAATAATGTATGTCATTAAAATAAAATTTGTAATAGTTACAGGAAAAAAACCATGTTTAAATATATTTATGTGTCAAGTGTCATAATGATGTTTTGGGTGGTGTAGGACTTTTGGGCATGTACAGGAGAAGGTGTAGTTAATTTGAACCAAAATTAACCCTCAATAGAGGTATATAACATACTATGTAATTTGCACCAAAAAAGAGGAATGTAATTTTCACTATTTCGAGGAGTAAGATATAGAAATTGATATTTGATATTTACATTAAAATTCTAATCGATATTCTTTCAATAGTGTAGTATAATGTATTGATATATGAGAAGCTAAATACACAGAATATTCCGTTCATAGATTCTAAGTGATTATTTCACTTACCTATTTACACCGTTTTACGGTACCTCAGTATTAATTTAAAAGATGCCTTGTAACAATAATATGATATATGAGATACATATTATATAATATTATAACAATTGCATAATTATAGGTGAAAATATGATTAAAATAGCAGAATATAAAAACATAAGAATTTCCTATACACAATAGATATTAGATACCTAAATTAATTGAATTAGTAAAACAAATCAAGTAATGTAGATGTTTTATAAAAACAGGTCTATGAAACGAGTGTTAGAGTGTATATTAATAAATTAATTCTTTTAAATCAGAATATTTTAAAGATAAATTATTGGTAAAAAAAAAACAACATAATAGTATTGGCCTCCTAACATTTTATTTTATACCACTGTGGGTCAACGAGGATACCGAATAATAATAAAATAAACATTTGATAATCAAATACATGTACAATACACATACTAATTTTGGTGCAAATTACAAACACTGTTATCGGTTACCTGCAGTGGTACAGATTACATCATATTTTTATTTTCATGCAAATTATTACAAGCTACCTACAGTAGATCCTCGGTTATCAAAACATTCAAAACTAATAACTAATAAGAAAACCCAGGATACTGGACATTTTTATTACAATATATTATAATATGTTAATACATATATTGATATATTATATTTTATTTTATTTATTTGTATATATATAATATATACTAATTATATTATTATATTATTATATGCTTAATGTTAAATGTATTCATACATATCACCAGAAAACATGCATAACATTATACGATATTTATTATAATTATTATTATTAATATGAAGTTATTATATATTCTACACCAGTGGTTAGCAAACTATGGTACGCGTACCACTAGTGGTACGCGGAAGACTACATGACGGTACTCGAAAGGCCACAAAGTGATAGAACGGAGAGTACATAAATGAATATTTTAAATTGTGTTCAAACAGAACATGGTCACATGAAAATAGACATAAGTGGTACGCGACAGATTAATTATACACAAGAGTGGTACGCTAAAAAAAAAGTTTGAGAACCGCTGTTCTACACTATTGCATGACGAGCACCACAACGCGTATAATTGTCGTTCGGTACGTCAAAAATTTTAAATTTATAATTCGTAATAGCAGAGGGTTCGTGTACCACGAAGGTTCGGATGCGGGATAATCAATAGGTTCTACTCATGAAGAATAAATATAACCTTATTTTACATGGTTCTACCGTACTAAAATATCTACAATATAGGTACATAATATTATTTATATATGCATGACAAAAGCAGCTATTTACAACCTTTCAGGTATTTCGTTTGTATAATAAAAATAATATTACGTACGTATACAATGAATGTAGGTATTATAATATTATAATACTAATATTGTCGTTATTATATAGTCACCACCACCAAAATACTCAAACTGTACCACTACCACACCAATAATCAATATTATAATGATATAGTATACGACTAACGACTTGGGAGACACTCACGCCGCAGTTCTGTGCCGTCGGCAAGTTGCAGGTGTATCGCGGCGGTGGCGTTGTCCACGGACTGCACTTTTCGGCACCCGATGACGTCGCTCTTGTTGTGCTTCTGAAACGCGAGCATGAGGCCCTTACCACAGCATTTCGGCACGCACGTCATCCTCGAGCACGGCCGGCACACCAGCGCCACGTACGTGTAGTTGGATGGCGTTTCAGCGGGGGCCGACGAGTTGTCCTTGGCCGTCGTCATCGTAGCGGCGGTGGTCGTGGTCGTGGTCGTGGTCGTGGTCGTGGTCGTGGTCGTGGTAGTGGTCGAGGTGGTCGTCTTGTGGCTGTGATTGTTGTTCGGCGTGATGGCGTCTACCAGTGACACGCGGTCGATGCAGTACTCGGCGCTGGAGAACGTCAGACGCTCGTACGCGCCGGCCGACCGGTTTTCCTGTCCGAACATGACCAGACGCCCGTCGTCCAGCACGGCCACGTCGTCGTCGATGACGGTCATCTCCCGGGAGCCCATTTCGCAAGGCATGTCGCCGTCCGAGTCAAACGACCCGCCGTCCGGTTCGAACTGCTCCGACAGATTTGATGCCTGCAGGAACTCCATGTAGGGCGGTATCCACCTGTTGAGGCATAGAAATCGGACGTGAGATTTCAGTTCTCAATATAGTCAAGTGAATTAGAAATACAGAATATTCGAATATTATTATACAGCAATACCGAGTACCTATCCGGAAATACGGAAGAAACATATTTTTTAACATTCTGTTCCCCCAAAATTGTTGACTTCAAAACCTGACCCTTAAAATCCACTAACGTTAATGATTACTGCAGCTTACCAAAGTACACAACACAAGATTAAAATATTTCTTATACGTATTTAAGTTTTATTGACTATGGTATATATACGGCTGCTGATGCAGATTGAGAGGCCTATGTGAGAATTTTAAGTTACACCTTTTTACATCTTGTTTACCTCGACATTGTTAACTATTAAACGAATAGATGGTCTGGAAAATGGTTAGTTTATTTAGCACAAAAATCGACACAAAATCTTCGTGTTAAAAATTGAAAATCCACTTAATTCAATGTTTACTATTCACACAAGACGTGATAAAAATATTTCGTATACGTATTTAAATCATTACCGACCATGGTATAGAGCTGCTATTAGAGACGGACAACGCCACTTCTTCTGGTGCTGTGGTCGCGACCGAGTCGTCCGAAGACGAAAAAGCGTACGACTCGCGCTGGTTCTGGTCGTCGGTGACGAAGCCCGTGCACGAGAACGTGTCAATCGCCAATATCATGTCCCTGGGACAGCATTTCATCACCTTCGCACCGACGATGGAGGCTGCCGCCCATGCTACAATCCATACGGTCACGTACGCTCGTGCCATCATTACACTACGGCGACGTTAAAGATCCGAACGGAAAACAGCGGATCACGTTGGTTTAGCGATTGCTTTCGATCACTTCCACACACTTGCTGCCGCTGCACCATAATTACTACAGAAAGCAAAAATTCATAAGTGAAAAAAAATTCAAATTAATCCTACATAATATGATGGCCTAGTCGAAAATAAAGATGAATTATTTTTTAACAATGTTTTAAGATACATTTTTAACGTTTATAAGATTGATTGATACTTGAAATATACAGCGACAGGCTGGCCATATACTAACATAACGACTTTAACTATATTATGTATACTGACAATAACGTTAAAAAACAATTTCAAATATTTGCCCTATTTTGGTTTTTGTATATTTTACTATGTTTGTTTTTACTATTAGGAATACGGTAGGTCGAATGATTTTTTCCAAAAACATTGCATTTATAAAAATAAAAATAGTAAATATTATATTAGGACATTTATTATTTAACTATGCATAATCATTATTATTCACTTTAATATCCCCAACGCGTAAAACTTAGCAGAAAGTAATCATGTAGCTACCTACTTAAGTCCTAACAGTGAAATTTTTTGAATAACAATAATATAATTGAAATCTATTGGGGAAAATTGTTATTATACTATTGTATAATATTGTTATGTTATAATATAAAATGTGATGTTTTTGTTAAAAATGTGTCATGACAAATTTTATGTTATGACATATTTCAAAATACCAATTAAAAAATAAAATGACTTGCAGTAATTAAATAAATTATATGGTATCCTTAGAAATAGAACCACACTTCTCCGCTTAAAATAGTTTTTTGTGTGTAAGTATAAATATTTAACATACAATTTAAATGTAATTCATCCATTACAGTGAAAACCTACTCAATGAAAATGCATAGACAGCGAGTTTGCCGTTCTCTTTATAACGATATAATATGTATTTTACGGATGACAAAAATAATTTTAAAGTACTCGAAACTTTACTATTGACGCAGAGGGTAATTGTTTTTACAATTTACATCTGGTTTCGATTAATCGTATCAATTTTTATTAATATAAAATAACTTTAACTATGACAAACCATAAAATATGTATACTATGCAAAACATGACATGCGTATAATTATATCGTAGATTTTGCAATATGCCAGTCTCCCAGGACCAAATGCGACATATATTACAACAATAATTATTTTAATTTAAATTATAAATATTACTTAACACGTTATTTTTGTAATAAATTGAATTGGGCTACACTTGTGGTGGGTATACCTACCTTATCGCACTAAAACAATGTTGAATAAATAGAAATTTGTTCTGAAACCATGTATTATATGCACTACTGCAGTTATAGGTATTTTAGTATTGTTAATATTATATGGACGGGGGAGGAGATGTAACTATATGATTATTCAACTAAATACAAAGTAATTGTTCGATAAATATTATAAAATCATCAAATGCACGTTATTACCATAATATTTTCTATGGGTCTATGTACATATTGTAGATAGTTTAGGTTAGAGGTTGGTAACCAAAACCAACTATACACTATACGAGACTCGTTAAGCGAACACATAATATTATACGTAGCTACGCTAAAAACCACGTCAGTAAGACTGTTACAATTGGCCAAATTTTGCAGGTTAAACGATACATATCGAATATGGCGTGTCGTAATCATCTAATACTCTAATGCGAACTAATTAGTTCATTTATAATTCATGTACCTACGACTAACATCTACCTATGTGTCCTATATATGTATATTATACAAATGCTTATTATATACCTACACGCTTAAAAGTGCATGAGCACGTTGTGAACTAAGAATTATTTTTGAAACTCAGCCGCGTAGGTAGGTACATTAAAAAAGGTTAGATGGCTTTGAAAAAAAAATCTAAATCTCAAACAAACTGATATCGACAACCTATGCAGGCGAGTTAGTATAAGTATGTATATATTATAGCATGTATGATGTATATAGGTACCGATTTATTACTTTTAAAGGCGTTAATTTTGATCCAAACTGAAGGAACCATTTGAACCATCATGACCGCATTAATACAGTATGCATAAAAGTGTTAAAAATGTTTAAATTAAACTGAAAATATACCAAGAACCTAACTTATGTAGTAGGTATACCTAAGTACAACAATATGTGCATTCCTATAAAAATTTAATGAGTTTATTAAGTATTTTTTTGTGAAAAATTTGAAGTATTTATTTTGGAATTTAGTGCACTCCTATTATTTATCTCTGTTTGATTATAAAATATTCCTCAATATAAACTATTCATTTTTACTTTTAGGAAAATATAATATTAACTATTATGAAAAAAAATATTAATAGGAACTCGTTGAAAAGAAAACAAATTACTTAGTTATTAGTAATAACTTATTACCCTCAACAATAAAAGTTACGCGTATTATTATATTATTATCATTAATTTTAAAATTTTTATTTTTTTTAATATTACAATTTAGAAATTCTAAAAAAAAATATTTCATGTGTAAAGCGTGTGTATTAAGCGAACCTTCAATATATTATATTCATATAAATATATAAATTATCATTCACAAAATAATGAGGCCGATGAAAAAAATAAAATGAATCTTATCTACCATAGGACAACACATATGTATAAGACAGTAAAATAACTTAACAAAACATAATAATAATAATATATTATTCCAAAAATCAAAGTGCAAATTCACCCATTATTATAAAATTAGTTTGAATGTTGATTCATTGGAAGCATTTATTGATGTTTTATCTTGTTTGATTTACTCGGCATGACGACATAAGAATATAATAGTTATAGCTTAACTAAGTTTAATAATTAATATAGCTACTATCAGAAAAAAAATTATTAACGATTGGAATATAAATTGTGTTGAAAATTATGATTCTATCATCTTGTATGTTGAAAAGGAGATCGCCAATGAATTAAGTTATTATTTTTATAATGTACCTAGGGAAAAGTATTTCTGATTGGTAAAATAATTGGAACTGGATTTTGTGTAAATATTACAAAAATTTAAATGAAAGTTATTTTTTCAGTTCTTAATTTAATATTTTTATATTCCTGTTCACCTGAAGAAATTATAGCATTTTATAAATAATCAAAGAGTCGACAACTTTTTATGAACTTAATTTATCCAATAATGAATAAAGTGTTTAAAATGACTAACGCTAATAAGTAATAATTCATTACCTCACTCAGTCTCTTTTTAATCTATCATCTATACTATATCTAGTAGGTAAATTTACTGGGTTCTTCCCTTAATGTGTTAAGAAATCTACTAAGCCTTTGCATAAAAAACAACGCAATAATTACAGACCTCTGTAGTGTATTCCCAACAAGTTTGAATAGTATTTAAAGAAAAGATTATTAGACTTGACTTAATAAATTATTTTTTTTTCTTCAAACAATCAACTGTGGTTTGGATATGGGAAGTCTACAACTGGTCACTGGTGCATTAATTGCCTTTTCTAATTTTGTACATACTAATCTAAATAATAACTAGAAGTAATTGGAATATTTTTAGAAAAAAATTTAAGATCGGGCATCAATCAAATGAGTAAGTTATCATCCATCGATAACCAACGTGTGCTTTTATTGATTTTGTACCTATTTTAATCAATTAATTATGCATTTTACTTAATTTTTTTTATTTAAGTCTGAATTTTAAAAATATTAAACTGAGCTCCGCTCTTCTACTTCGCCTATGGCCAACGAAACTCTAGAGATTGAAACATTTAGTAAAAACATAAATCGTATTCGAAATGGTGAAACGTAATTATAATAAAAATCTTTGTTACGGCTGAACGTCAAACGCAAAACAATATTCTGCACACCAGTGAAATATTATAATTAGGATAAAAAAAAACCCCGAAAATATATAGCATAGATAATCATAAACTTCATTGCGTTTTAGTTAAAAGCGCGGTTAGGTTAGGTAAACTCGGTTAAAAGTAAATAATAAATTCTTAAGTATTCTGATCAATATGCTGTTGCATTATATAATATAAGACGTGGTCATAGTGTCGTTAATTATTCGTTTAATTTCCAATGTGCAGTATAATTGTTGTATACGAATATAATATAATAACAAAATATTTTTTAATATTTATAACAAAGTGGACAGTTTGTCATAAAAATACGGAATGCGAATACCTCTAACGATAAAGGTTTACGTCTTCACTCTTCTCAGTCCACGCTGCACATGAACCATAATCACCATCAGTTCAAAGAAGGACTTGATGAATATATGTTGGTTATAGTCCGATAGTCGTATACTCAAATTGGTAGGTACAATGTATATATTGTACGTGTTTGTATTATAATGCACAATTCACATGGTTATTGTCGTGCTGGTCGTTGCTAATTTATCGATATTTCAACTGTATATTATACAGAAATGTGATATAATAATATTTGATTCATAGAATTTTATGGATCGACAATTTTGACATGTTCAAAAAATGACTGCGATGGTTCGACCGATGGGTTAACTACTTTTCCCTGGGTATATGCGTATCATTATTTAACTTTCGCCTGAGTTTCGCTTCGTATATATTTATAGACATATAGGTAGTTATAAGTTATAACTATAGTTACATAGCGTTATTACTCCATACAAACTATACTGTTACTAGGGATTTATTTAGGGGGGCTGAATGCAGCTGAGTGCAACTGCAACTCTAGTCCCCCTTTTTATTTTTGAACAGTCAATACAGAAATATGTATTAGATGTATATGCATATTATTCAAAATAAATATGATATTATGTAAAAATATTAATATGAATTAAAAATGAATAATATAATGATATTATTTAAAATACTAAAATTAAATTTTAATCGAAATAATAATAAGTATTTTTACATGTTACGTATTATTGCATTAACGTGTGTAATATGCGTTCAAATAAATGAACGGTGTTTTATATAAAAAATAGGTTTTTGTGCCGTCCACTGTGAAAATAACCTAACCAAGAAAATTCTCAAGCTGCAATTAATTTTAATCATTACTTAACATTATCAATGTTATTATTAATTTAACCCACACCAATGTTTAGGGAGTTTATATTAATTTTATAACGCAACTCCATTTGATATTACTTAACCTTTTTGAATATTTTTATAATTTAGTTATTACATATATTATAATAATGCATGTATAATATTTAAATCGTTAAATTTTGATCAATACAAAAAATTCAAAAATAACGTGTTATTCATCGTTTCCTATGTAGGTATCTAGTTGATAAGAAACTCACTAATTTATAGGGTTTGAACAGAGCGAAAGAGCAGCAATTGGTTTTACAACACAGTGATGTATATTTTTATTTTTAAAACGCCTAATGGAGCAATAAAATGAATTATAAGCCTATACTCAGAATTACACTAAGCCACGTATTATTTTTTAAAAGGACTAGTATGGTATTTTTCAAGAAAAATGACAAAAAGAAAGTGTGGCTAATCCAGCACAAAAGATAATATCATTCGATCTACCTCTGAAGACGGTTCTCCCAAATATAAAAATGTCACATCTATTTTGGCCATAATAATTTATGATATTTCGGAGTGGTATAGATACAAGTGTCTAAATTCTACTGCTGGTCTTTTTTGTATTCTGCGATTCAAAATGATTTTGAAAGAAATTATGGCGCATTTAAAAGGATATATTATTCCTATGTTAACTTTTTTTGACTTTTTTCTATGCATGCATTATAAGCATTTTTATCAGATTGCGAATTCATGGTCTCACTACCACTACATTTAGCACAATTTATTCTTATAAAAATCAATAGTTAATCAAAACTGGGTTGAACTTAGCACTCATCAAAAAAATTAACTAATTCTTTCGTACTTTTGACAAATATTATATAAACCATCGATTCACGTCCCCTGAACTATATATATATGCGTTATCATGTAAACAGATGTTTATGCCAAATATGCATTTGGGCATGACTAGGATAACTTTGAAGATGGGGAGACCCCCCCCCACCAAAAAAAAAAAAACTTTGGAGAAATAAATTTTATAGATATTTCCGAAACAAGAATCAATTTTGTTTTTTTACTTATAAATATATATATCATATACATGCCGTATTTTTTATGGTACATGTTATACCATATTATTATCATGGATTAAAATATACCTACTTATTATACTTATAATCTCCTCATATCGTGATTCGTGAACCTCTACGAGTGCATAAGCTGCAGTTTTGCCATGTACTTCGAACGACTATTGATAATATTGTTATTTGTTATCGCCTGCAACGACTATATGCACGTGTGTCCACAAGAATGCGAGTATATTAAACTATATTGCTGTTTGCGTTTACCAACAACCTATAAGCTGTAACCTATACATTTTATATTATGTACATGACGTATATCCAATTAAACACATTTTACACATATAACGTATATTATTATAAACTAGACCCCGGTCGTGTGAGTCGTGTGTGCGAGTGTGTATATGGGCGCGTACATTTAAATTCACGGTCATACAATAGGTGTATACTGTCGGACATAAGACATTTATTGTTATTTTTACGAACGTAATTTATTCGACGTGTATGTCTATAGGCTTTTCGAGCGGGCGGCTGCCGCGGAATAACAAACAGCGCCTTAGTGGATTTACCTAGTTTTGTTTGTTTTTTTCACTCAGTATATATATATACCTAAATAATATAATACACACACACACACACACACACACACACACACTCACATACTAGTATATAACCGCTGTCCGGTTGAATACGATCATTAATTTGCAAGACCGTAAGAGTATAATATACGCTTGTACAGGCACAATAGTGACGTAATCCGTAAAACGTTTGACACACGCGAAATCCGAGTCAAATTTAGCGGCGGATAAACGGGCGCAACGCCTTCGCCATCAATAGACTACGAGTAAAGCAATGGATTTCTCTATTCCGGTTCTAAAACGCAATCGTTTCCGGATACCGAGAGGCGTCGCTGACTGTGGTCGTAAAGAAGTATCTTACGCCGCACAGATAAGTTCCCTCTCCCCCTAGTCGGATGATGGTTATATCAGTATATAGGGCCAGTTTATCCTAACCTAACCTATAGCTATTATGGATTTAATGCAATTGAACATTTTCCAGTTGTAGGGTCGAATTTCGAATAAAAAAAAACAAATTATAATTCAATAAGTCATTATAACTATAGGTATATGTGTTTGTTACAGGAAGGCTGGCACTTGAAAACTTAATAAAATATTCACTTTTTTTATTTCTAGAAAAATTATCCGAGATATTATCAAGCTATAATCCAAAAAAATCGCTTTAAAAACCAGTATCATGTGATTCAAGTTCAAGAAGAGCATTTAAATATGGTCTTAAACTTGTATTGTTAAAAATCTACATAAAAAAAACCACATACACAGTAAAAAAAAACCATTTAACCAAAACTTCTTTAATTATATGCCGCCATCGAGAATTATTCAATTAATTTAATTAAAATATTAATATTTAAATCGAAGTAGACAGATGGTAGGTACCTACTCATATAAACTAATTATTCTAGTTATGATAAGTCTTGGGTAACAATACAAACTGCATATACAGGTGTGAAACGAAAACGTACTGTTCGAGTCAAACGTGTGTATTACAATATTTGTATGTAAAGTACATGCCTACCTACTTGTTTTGAGTTAATTCTTCTTGAAAAGTCGAAGAACACAATAATTAAGCATACACGATACCCGTTTAGTTTCGTTTTATATAAGGTACCTACGTCAGTTTTTGTTAAAAATATACACGCTTACAATGGAATTATTTTATAATAACCGGATAAACATTATTCTAGTGAAAATATTTCTATACATTTAATCTTTTTAATTCAAAAACTAATACAACATTCATAATCAGATGTACGTGTTGTATACTAGTACAGTAGTATTCAATATATTAATTATTAGCAACGATTCGAAAGAAAAAAAACAGTTTTTTTTTATTAAAAACTCTGCAGACAGTTAGGTCGTTTTATATAAGGGATTTTATAATTATTTTGTATACAGTTATCTAAATTAAGTTATACCTATGTATGATATGCTAAATGTATCGGTACAGTATAATTATACTTACGATCATTGTAGAATAATTAACAGTAGAGTATTACATAATATAGTTAATTTTTGAAAACTTGACAAATTATGTCGAGATTAAAAAAAACTAAACATTAAAATGTTTTAAAAAAGTAAAAACACTAGAGTAATCTTAAATTTTCAAGTATTGCACGTTACACGGTTAATAAAATTAATCTATAATACATAGGTACGAGTACTAAGTATATAGGTAGGTAATATTGTAATAAACTAATAATATATTGTTCACTGCAATAACTAGAAGGTATGCAAGTGTACCTCTGTTCATCACGATAAACCGGTTATATAAATATTATTGAATAGGTACATAAAACAACTTAATTAATAGTCAAAAGTCGTGTCGTGTGAAATAAACAATTTGTGATTAGGTCACATTTTATACCGACACGGAAATAATACGATGTACAACCGAGTGTACAATATGTACACGGTCAAGGAGATAATCTTGAAAATAGATTTAGTAAACTGTAGGTATACTCGAGAGAGATAATAAGGTCACATAATATGAATTGTTCAGGGTCGGAAACTGAAACTACAAAGTAAACACAATGTATTATAATTAAATACTAAATTATCGTCCAAAACAATGTAAATTTATAAAAATTAAAATTGTTGACGAACAGATCTTAAATAACACGCAGTCACTCCTAAATAAAATATGATAATCCTAATCTAATATTATATAGGTACTACGTAAGATTCATTATCAAGCATGTTATACCCAATGGCCATTACATACAGACAGTAACTTAAAAAAGTATCAAATTGTTTAATCAATAACCTATGCACGGTTACATTAATTGCACAAACTATAAAATGTCACCACTCCTTTAATACATATAATTATTATAATATTATCTAGCTACCTTCTAGTAAAATTTTACTATCTACAAAATACTATATATAGATATATTAGCCACACGTCCACACCGAAAAACACGAATCAATTTCGAAAACATATCTGGGTCACCATCGAAGATCACATAATTAATACTGTAGTATACCTACGTTGATATTATTTTAACACACACAATGTTATATTATAATATTATCTATTGGTATACGGTAATGTTATTGTTACTACTACCTTGTGCGCGAAACAGAGTGGTTATCGCGAGCTGTTCGTCGCCGGCGATTTACTCATCAGTCGACCGTCAGCGAACGGTCGCGCGTTAACGATAATAATATTGTTTTACGAGAGAAGTTATGTATTATGACAACAGTCGTGTGCCGACTGGTTCGGACTGTGTTTTCAAGGCAGAACCGACGGCGCGACCGGCTAGAAAACGATGATAATATTATTAATTTAATATCATAAAACGCAGAAAGTGTTCCCCGCGGTTGACGCTAAACACCGGCTCCGATCGTCGTCGGATCACTGACGCGGCCGTGACTGGCGAATCGCCTCCCGATACCGCGTCCGTTTAGACTTAACCATGCCCCGCCTACCGGTCCAGATAGAACTTAGCGACCCGCGACGGATGGTCGTATCGTACAGTTGTCGTTATGTTATTGCAAGTTTAATAACATTATTGTGGTTATCATAATTTTCGTACATTTTGTTTTCATATTCGACCATACCGACGTCGGACTTGTACCTATACTCTTGTAGTTCCAGCAATTTCTTTGAAGTGGTAGATGGTAGACTGATGGTCGACTGGTCTGCTGCCGGTTGCAGATTTCTAGTCGGATCACGCCACAGCGACGAAGCGTGGTTTAAGACTTGAGTCCAACAATGAGATTTCAAGCTTATTCCCTCACAAATAATCCAGTGTGCAAACGATCAGCATGGTTGTAAATTAAAATTTTCAAAATAGAAGGGGGCGTGAAAATAGGCACGTTTTCCCCCGCCATATGCTATATTTGTTCGCCTAAATCATTTTTATTTCTTATGACTTTATAAACCTACATATAAATATATGAACTGCAAGTGGAATTGAAATTGTTATCATTACGATTACCTATAGACGCAGTAGATATTGTAATTTGTAATCACTGCTGATTGCTGAATGGATTTCGTATTTTTATATGTCGGTGTATGTGACCATTGACCTTGTGCAAGTCGAGCGTCTTTAACATGGAATATTATAATATATTATTTACGTTGTACTGAATTCAGAATATAATTACGCAGTTTATAAATGTATCAAGTATAATAATTCAACGATAGTATCCTAACATTCGATTATTTGAAAACTGAGCAACGATTATTAGCCACGTGTTGACCAAATATTTTCATTTTGATGACTGCAGATACCGGCATGTAGCGGCTATATAATCATAATAATTATAACTCTGAGCCATATGACCACCGTTTACTAACACGGTATACAATATACAGGATAATATGACAATATTATCCTGTATATTGTGTTCTATCTATGATTATCGATTATTATTTACTTCTAACGCTGGGTTGCCAATGAACAGTGTAAAATGTGTCAAAACTTTTTAAAAAAAACATCAAATGTTGACGCCTTCAAAGTTCAAATATTATGTAGATTATAATATTATATATATTATTATTTATTATATTACCTAAAGTTCTTCAACTATTATATCATTGTGGTGCAATTTTTTCAGTTCATGGGTGCATATTTCAATATTTCTAAACAATAGGAATATATTTGATTTACCATGTCTTTTTACACCAATAGAACATTTTTTTTTAAATTGGACAATATTTTTATTACCTGTATAATTTAAGTATTATTTTTTGTTGCTTGATCAGTGATCACCTCCTCCTCCCTCAAGACTGTCACTACACCACTCCATAATATTATTTATTCTAAAACATAATAAAAATATTCGCACGTTGTATAATATAGCATACATTACAATATTGTCATGACGTATCATCTCCGTCATGCAAAAAATGGCCAAGTGAAATGATAAACATTTTCTTATTCACATTAAAAAACAACATAAAGTTATTTTATTTTCGTATTACCTATACCTACAGTTTTATTTATGTATATTAAACACAACATATAGGTAGTTTGTATAGATAATAATGAAAGTTTACTGTTACTATTATATAGAATTATATATATTCTAGTACGTTATATACACTTTACAGTATACATATACATGAAATAAATAATTTAACAAACTATCAGATAATTAATTGAATGAGAGGCGTACGCACTAGAAATTAATTTTATCGGTCATAGCCCATAGGCATTATTCATATTATTCTTATCATTACCTATGACGAAAAATGTGACGTTATATCAAAAATATCAGTGCATAATCCGTCCTACGACACGAAACTTAAAATATCGTACTAAAATTATTCAACGACCCACGACGACGCCGCATAAGAATAAATAAATAATAATATATCATACGCATTTGTTTTCTTAACTGCTTCACAAAGGTGGTTCCATTCAAAATGGTAATTACCTACCAAATCGGTCACCTGTGTGACGATTCCCATATAATATACATATTATAATAAAACCAGTGAAGATCGCCGTGTTACGTATGATGCACTACTTCGAACACATGTGAGCTCTGCACTCCTAAGTAGTTTTTCGTGACATTTAAAAGGACCATCTAATATCTATACCTATTACCTATATTGTGCGATAATTTAAGTAAGATGAAACGTTTTGTTGGAAATAAAAAATAAAAATAAATTGATGTTTGTACAGATGAGGAATGAGTTGTGTAAGGCGTACACACATTGACGAATACAATTGAAAATATATGCAGTAGCTGATACGACTCTTAAAGTCTTAACACCACAAATATAGAAATCTCTCTGAAACCGATAAACTGAATAAAAATAAAATGAAAAAACCGACATTATTTTATTTGAAAATGTGAACAGAGTATTCCAAAGCGTACATAATAAATAATACAAATATAAACATGGTTAACTCGATTAAAAGTAAAATTAACTATTAAGGTACCTAATCAAAATTATTATTTAAAATACTAACATCGTATATTATATATATAGTTATTAATATGGTGACAGGAATTGGAAGACTGTATTTTTATAATCACTTTACTTTAATTGATGTAATATGTTACAATATAATAATATGTTTTCTATACGAATACGCTATGACCCGCGTGGGCATAAAAAAATTAAAAATAAATCAACATATTATTATTACGTTCTAAAATAACAAAACAAAAAAAACAATACAATTTTCTAATACGTATAATATGTTCAGCATTCCGTAACCTACAGTGCACAATATATTATTTTAACTATAATAGATATATTTATTGCAGTTTATTTCTAAAAATAAATTGAAATAAAATATGTTAATAAATAATATTATGTATTTATGTATAGTGGAATAAAATAAAATGTTTGATTAGTTCAACGATTTAGTTAGGTAGATTTTAGGGAATATAAATTACAGGTTCGTAAACTGTAAATCCATCATAATTCTGTCTTATTTAACCTTCATATATTATATTTTGTGTGCTTGTAACGGGAGTGCTATTATTTTTAATTAATTTACAAATAGGCAACTAAACTTACTACAACTATTAAGTAATTGTATTCTGTTTTATTTCCAGTATATCAAAACTGAACACAATAATCCTACGCACATACCTGAACACCTGGCTACCTATTTCATGTATATTAAATTATAAAATCATTTATAGACATTTCTCTACTTTCCTAGCTACTAGAACTAGTTGACATCAGAGTAGGTGTATGTACCTATTACCTGTACATTTGTTCAAATTTAGTCAGTAATTGACTTGTTTCGAAATTATATCCATGTTTCTAGAAAGAATACCTTAGATTTTTACCAAAGCCTGAAAAAAACGAATAATCCATGTCATAAAATAATTATCATATGAATTGAAACTAACTTTTTTTTCAAGAACAAAACAATTTATCATACAAATAAGACAATAATAAATATTAAGTATCCTTTTTTTCGAATTATTTCCTTCGTCATCAGCTCGAAATCTGGTTTCTAACTTGTCTAATTGTAAATAGCTTCTGTAAGTAATTTATGATTATCGACAGTTATCGATTCTGGACGAAAAAGTTTATAAAGAAATTACCAATATCATATTATGTAACACTTAGTCTAGACATTCATTTGTGACCGCCAATCAAGTCAATAATATAATATAACACATTAAATGGTAAATGCATAATTATATCTGTACAAAAAATAAAAAACCCATAAATTATAATCAATATTTTTTTTATATAGCTACTATTAAATAAATTATGATCTATTAGTCTACTACTAAATATAAAAAGGTACATATATTTAGGTCGTATCGTATAATTGACATTCGACGGACGGCTTTTGGGAAGGTATCCTATAATAAATTTTTTTATAATTTACTAGCAACTTATATGCGTTCCATAGTTTACCTATTGTGGGGTAACATTTACATTTTATGTGTATATAAGTCAAATAATGAAGAATTTATGGCCGTAGTATATCATGTTCCCCTCATATTTTGTTGGACAAATAAATGTAGAGACTGATTGTATTACATAAAAATACAAGATCAATTTTTATTTTTTATATCCACATAATATAGCACTATGCAGCATAGAGCAAAAGTTAAAGAACAATTTTATTTCTATACACACATATGACATATATATTTTATTTTTAATTAAAGTAAGTATATTATCTTGATCTTGATAGATATTGGAGTAACGTTATCATAATAAGTGTACTTGGATCAATGCACATTTTGAATACTAAAAACCGTCGACGATTTATTATTTAAATAAAACCTAGGCTCAAATTCAATCGTCGGGACATCTGTATTCGTATGATCGTATGTAACTATGCCAAAGCCAGATTTTGATTCTTCTCAGAAAAATCGTATTTTACACGCACATTACAATTTAATCATAACCCTTAGATGTAGGTACTTAATCATATGTCCTCAGTATTTAATGACCAGCGACCTTTACAAATGTTAAGTTTGTGTCACAACAAAATGTGTACGTCCCCTATAATAGTTATCTATTAAACACAATAATATATTGGCCATCATCGCACATCCAGCACACGGTTAACGACCAATTGAAGTTCATTATCAACTATCGTGTTGTAATACGCCACCTCGAAGTCGGAACAAATAATTCTTATTAATTAAAGCCATAATGAATCACGCCGAGATGACTAATCGAATTCATTCGAAGAAGTTAGTATACTAGGTACTACAATTAAACAGATACCGTTTATTTACGACAGTACCGTAAATATTAAATTTTTTACCGAAACGGACGCGGGACCGTCCGAAAAAAACGATATTATAGTAACAAGTGAACATACAACACTTATCTAAAAAAAATCGATATACGTAAGCTGATAATGTAGGAAAGCAGCGTTTCCCAAACTGTGGTCCACCTACCCTAGGGGTTAGCATGGATATAGTATACATTGTATACCTAAGGAGGTCCGTGAATTATTATTGTTAAGTTAGGTTATTTTTATTTCGTGGTTCTCAATCATTTTTACTATACTCTATGGGGTCTGGTGGAAGAAAATTGTTTGAAACGCTGTTGTAAAGTAATGATTTAATACATTGATCACGAAATCCCCTTGCCAATCAATTAAAATAAAAAATCTGGAAAATACCATGTAGTTAGTAGGTGTCGACTGTCGAGTATACCTCCTCATTGAATAGCTAGTAGGTCACTGTAATGGGTGTATTAAATTTGAATTCAATGACAAACGATTCTACGCAGAGACGGTGTGTTCATTATGTAAAAACAAGTCTTATTTTGTAAGAATGTGAACTTTAAATGCATATAAAAAATTAAGTATTTTCAAATTTTGTATAGTTCATATATTACGAGAAATCTAGAATTAAATTGTCAAGCTTTTTTACACACAAACAAAATGTTTGTCATACTATGGTAATACATTTATGTATTATATATTATTTAATATACTTATTATATATCAAAAATAAACTAAAAAAATTAATTATTTAAAATGTGTATAAATAGCATAAAAAGTTATAATGCATCTCTTAATGAATTGTTATCACTTATTGTCAAGTCTCTACAGTTATTTATTTTTGAATTACAATGAATAAATATTTTTATTTTGTCGAAAAATTGTTTAGCGAATGAATTTCCATTTTCTCCTTGTCTTATTTTTATTTTTTCTGTCTATTTAAAAATTACTGATAATTTTACCAGAAACTAAACTCGAAATGGAATATCAATGCATTTCCTTACCTACTATACAAAGTGTATGCACATAACATTTAAGAAATAATAAATCACATATCATCGTAAAACTAATACATTCATCGCTCCGTTTAGAAACTAAATTTAAAAATAAAACTTAATGAATTTTAGTAATTACTATTTAATAATTTTTTAATATTATTAATTATTACCCCTAGCTACCTTCTCTCTTGCCACCGCGTCTTATTATATTATTGTATATCACATTAGCTAATTTTAACAATAATAATCCTTAACCCCTTTTTTCAGACTTGTTTCAATTTAATATATTATTGTTTTTTTTTAGTAAGAAGGTGCTTTAAAAATCGTGAGTAATTTTATTTTAATCGTGGGTTCCTATAAGTGAATGAAGGAAAATTATGTGCAATTGATGAAATATATGTCAACCTAAAATAATATTTTTCTAGTAAAAATATTATTAAAAAACAATCAACTATGAGCTTTAAACATTCATCGCTCATTTTATTAAATAGTGTATTAAATAAAATAATTAAAAAAATTATAAGAAATATGAAAAATTTCTAAGTTGATAATGTGTAATTTTTATTACGAAAATAGAAACAAACATTCTCCATACTTTAATTTTTAATATGGTAAATATTATTCTAACTACAATTAAAATTTCTGAAAATTGTGACTTTGTCACATCATATTGTTTATCATCAATTTGTAATCGTTATGTTAAAATAATACAACTTAAAAGTATGTGTTGTGTCTTCAGAAAAATGTATTATTTCGATTATTGCCTATAGTAATCAATTTTTTGAATACTAAAATGTTTATCTAAGACATTAAGTATATCTACTTATAAGTTATAATTGTATAAAGTAAAAATGTCATACAATGTTAACCATAGCCAATAGGTAATATGTATATTGTATATAGTAAATTATATCCTATATAATTCCACCAGAAAGTATAAAAATAGGACATCTCATGTTTGAAATAATATTATTGTGTGATATTGTTACGTGCCCAAATATAATATGAGTATAAAACGTAATGGGTCAGTCTTATCTATTGTTTCGTTTAAAAACCATTAAAAATAGTACTGTATGAGCTGTAATACCTGGTTTCATACGTTTTTTAAATTACTGCTACCAGTAGGACCAATCACATTAATTTAATAATTTTAATAAATTATACTGCTATAGCAGTAGTTGACCGAGAACGTGTTAATTGAGGCACCTATATAATAAATTACAATGATTATACTGGACATATCAACATATCACCTACCTGTGATCACAAGGGCGTAGCTAGAAATTTCTTCAGGGGTTGGGGAGAATAACCAAGTGTATGTTTACCCCAATTTAAAATGTCATTGAACATTAATATATTTGTTAGAATATATATCCCCCCCCCTCGGATTCAATCTTGGTACATCAAATTTCACACAACATAATACCAAATGTTGTATGTGTCTGTTGACTTTTTTTATTGGTCTACAAATCCAGGAGTTCAGATCCGACTAGTGTATAATATACCGTAGAGTGACTTATTAATCCTCTGTAGTTAAACTCTGTAGGTGTCCACTTTAGAAAACAATGATCGCTGATCAATCTATTTTTAAAGTGCTGTTTGATAAGAAGCCAACCAACTAGAGAAAGTTTAACAAGTGATTAATTTTTAATATATACTTCAATTTTATCTAAGTAAAAATAAATTACAAAATGATGCTAGTATTGAAAAATTGATTGAGCAATAAAATGGTAATTTAAAAATATTACATAAGTCATTCATCAATGACGTAGTAAACTTGTAACTTGTAATCAAGTATAGAATCATAATATGATAAACACAACTCTTCAACTAAATTATTCTAATTGTGTACCCAATTCACTTTAAACTATGTTAGGTTGCCTATCAATAAAAACACAGTCATCTAAAAATAATTATCACAACCTAAAATTAAATATAAAACAATTTCACTTAATAACAATAAACTAGCGTTTTCTTATACCTACCTAGTATTTTAAACTGTTTTAAAATGTAACTTAAATGTGTTTCATACAAAAAATTGTTCTTAAAATATTATATTAGTATAGTTTATTCGTCATCTTCATCATGTCGTTGATTCACATACATCATTTGGTTGTTTAATATTTCATTTTGCTCAAGAAAATCATCACGAATATCGATCAAGTCATTGTACAGTTCATCTAATGAATAAAATAATAATGATAAAAGATCTAAACTTTTGTACTATCGATTGCGTGGGAGCTGATCCTTACCGTTGAAGAAAGTATGAGATTTTAATGATCCTCCTACTTCTGCTGGCAATTCATTTCTCGATACGTAATTAAAAATATCATCTGAACCGACTGGATGGAGCGTTATCTGAAAAATGATCGAAGAAAGTTACTTGATGGACCACCATTAGTAATAATATAAGTAATAACAGTAATAATAAGTTATAACAATATAAAACTATTCAACAATGCTGTTACATTCATTACTTGATTTTCCATGTGTTGTTTTTACCGTAATTCAAAAATATATTGTATAGATAATATAAGGTTTTAATTTTAGTCAATATTACAGTGAATAGTTATTGGTATGGTTATGTAGAAATAGATATGCAGTTTTATACAAGCAATACAGTACCTAATGCAATAGAGAGGTCAGAGGTCACTTCACCGGCAACCTTAAGTTGTATATTTGGCTGATTCTTAAATCGAAGAATACCTATTATTAATGCTTTAAAAATAAAAATCTTTCATAATTTCAAGTGATTAAAAATCAGATATTTTTTACTATTGTATCTATTTATAATGTAATATAAGTTATAATAATATAATTTATTATATTATATCTATATCGTAATGATTTTTTAATATTTTGCTTATTTAATGACATTTCTAATTTCATATTCCAAAAAAAATTTTTCGAAGTATTTCAATGTATTAAAAAATAAAATAAAATTCGAACTACTAGTTAATGTTAAATGGTTATAAGTTGCTATATACAATAAATTCGACTCTGTTTAACAATGTATGACCGAATAAGTTGAAAACCGTCGTTATAAAGTTAAACATAGGTCATTATCATCTAGATTTTTCTAGTTTGGTAACATCGATTATTCGTTTGCACGCATCACGCTCGAATTTATAGCTAGTAATATTTCTTTGAAAATACTTAGCAATTCCAAATTTCGTGGTTTCTTGAAACCAATCAAAACTCATCAGACAAATCGAATTCACTGAAACCTTACGTCGCTGATGTTTATTTTTTCTATGTCTTTGAGCAAATTAGAAACACATTGGAAAAAACCTGATTTTGATTTCGGCAGATGAGGCCACAAACACATGTGGGTGTTTAAATTTATTTAAAATTAATTTAATTGTAATATCATTGAAAATAATAAAAATAGCTTGAGAAAGTCTCACTTTTCATTTCACATCCAAATTGTAAAAAACATTTTCTGTTTGGCATATGAAACTAAAAATAAATGCCATTAAAAAAGTAAATATATAATTTTATTTCAAACATATAACTTTGTAATGAGTTCAAACTATGTTAAATAATATTTTCAAAAACATTTATACTTTTTGTGATAATTTAAAAATAGGGAATCACCTAGTATATACTCGTAATATTTATAGATAATTACTTACCATTATAATTGTGTGTATGTTTTTAGTACCTATGACTAAAAAGTAATATTATAATAATTACATATAATTAATATAGGTACGCATAAATTTATTATTAATGATACTTCGTTCACTGTGTCTTAAGGCGCACCCAGTCATCTGGTCAACACGCCTATTAATATCATATAAATAGTGCTTTTTCTATGTATAATATTTACTTAAGCAACATAAGTGTTTAATTATACATTTATAGTTTATATAGGTGTAAATGGCTTATAAGTGTTATGCGAGTATAATGGTATTATTATATGCTCGCATTCGAAACTAGACGATTGACAGTCGGATACTATCAAATAATATGTCTATCTGAGGGTCCCTGAGACTTTTAACTGTGATGGGAGGGTTAACATTTTCTATTTTGAAAATGAGCAAATTTAAATATATAAAATTATAATTTGTAAAAATAATTATTTGAAACAATATGTTTTATTTGTTTATTATCATAATGTATGATACAAAATGTTATTTGAATTTCAATATTCAACATCTATGAATAAAAAAGGCCCCGAAGAAGAGGAAATAAATCACCCCAACAACCTCTCAAAGACACCTTTGACTCGCCTATATACTAATACTAGTATTCTAATTTTATGGTATTAATTTATAGGTATTAGCTTGATTCCTCGTGTAATTTTAATTTTAATTTGTGCGTTAAAAATAAAGATAACAGTAGATAATTATGTCTATTAACATGCTATTAAGTAGGCAAATTAAATTAGGTATTATAATTTATAATACGATAAAATTAAGGTAGAAATTACAATGTTCTCTATTAGTATTATCCATTTGTTTTACATGCAATATGTCATGTACAATTACGATTTACCTCTTTAATTTATATTAAAATTGTATTTTACCTTATCTAATAATTCTTGATTGGCGAATCGTGTTACCATTTTCATTATCATTTGTGTAGCGGATCCGGCATTTAAAACATGTACAGCTTTTAAACGGACTGGTAGGCCAACCTAAAAATATCATACGTCTTATCATTTATGTGCATTTTTATTTTTTAATAGCTCATGGCTGTAAATATATTGAGTCCAGTAATTTAATATATTAAAAGTTAGAAACAATCTATAAATGATTCGCTCTGTCGATTACTTCGACTAACTACCTAGTTATAGATTTCAATGTTAAGTGGCAATAGTAAAACGAATTGTTCTTACAAATTAGAAATTAGAAGTTTCTCAAATTTCAGAAGGAGAACTTAAAAATACAGCTTAAAATATTTATTAAATATGAAATCATGAAAATCTATAAATTACGTATAATATACATACTATGTACATACTATGTATACTAATGTACATACTTAAGCAAAATTAAATTCGAACAGAAGTAAATATATTATGAAACAGTATACATTATAAATTGCGAAACTGTTACGGTAATATCGTTTAATCTATATTATATATACAAATAAATATATCTTTCTGTATCCTTTATTGACTCAACAGTCAACACCTACTGAAGTACTGAACCATTTCCAATAAAGTTATTTCAATAGATTCGTCGAGACTCGGAGAAGGTTTATATCTAGGGTGGCTTACACATGCATTTTATTTCGGCTCATGAAAATCTACCTTTTTTTGCTTATAGGTATAATAGAAATTTACCATTGGTTACATATTATGGTAAAATAGTAGATAATAAACCTAGATAATAGATATTTTCAATAATTAAAAGAATACAATTCACCAACTCCGAAGTTTGGTTGAATATGTAATATAATATACACCTTGTTTTCGGTACGCATGTAGTGGCATGTATCAATAGCGAACATTTTTAAGGAGTTAAATATAGGCAATTTTCTATATTAGTGCATTTGGGTTGTGTAAATATGTGCAATGTGCATAGTAAGACGTGTTCATTAGTGTGAGTGACTGTGTATATAACAAATAGCGGAGCACTACTTCACGTGCACTTACATGCCAATAACGCAGCAATTTAGACACCAATTTATAAATTGGAATTTTAGTGAAACACTGAAACCTAATTTCGTAATTCCAATAATATAGCTTACTGAGTATCATTATTGTTTGAACGCTTATTATACAAATGATAACCTAAGATCCTAAACACAGATCCTAACCTAAAGAGAAGAAGTTTATCTTATCTAGCCTGTTGAAGAGTCGACTTTCAATATTTATATTTTTCATGTCCAATATTTAGCCTAAAACTTGTGATATTTTACTTTTTAAATTTGATTTATTGAGTTTAATAATTGAACTATAAAAATTGAATTTTATACAATTACAGATTAAGTTCTCTTCTACAATATTGATAATAGGTGTTTTTACTCTCAGCTCACTCAATAAACCATATTATTGAAAATTACTATGTTACATTATTAGAAATTACGATACTGTGATAGTTATACCTAACTAGCCAACTTAAATTGTTGTCGATGGCCTATCAAGGAGTTATCGTTATTACTTATTAGTCATTACTTATTACTCTATTAAATAGCAGCATACCTTTTACCTGTTTCTAAATGTATAACCATCGATTGGATGTCGATGCGTTATTGAGATACAGTTTCCAAATAATAATAGTATGAAATAGGTATAGGGTAAAGGCATAAGTAATGGTTAGGTTTTAAAATAATATATATTTAAAACCCATAATAATAACATTTTCAAATGCCTAAAGAAAATAAACTCAGAATTATTGTTTTCAGAAAAATGGTCTGTTTAGGATACGGATTCGAGAAAACGTATGGTATCGTATAAACGTAATGTATCATTTGAATTTTAGTGACATTTTACAATAGGTACTAACTAGTAACTACTAACCGTAACTAATATGTAATCATATAACATAATGTCATTATATGATCTTATTTAAAGGCAGCATACATGATCTGAGCACATTTTTTAATGATAAGTTACTATTTTTTTTTCAATGTCAGCAACTAGCAAGTCACTTTATTTAGAAACTAGTTGGGTGACATTCTACGCGCGGTCTTCGGGACTTAGTTATAATATTATACTTAAGCGTTTAAGGTCGTTGTGGGATAAACAAATGCATAGAAAAAGTCAAGAAACACATGATAGCACTTATACATAATACAAAATTCCAGTTCCAGAGAGAAGAACACGATTTGGGGACATGCATATATATTGGATTTATACAGTTGTAAGCATGAAAGATTCATTTTAGTTGTCATTTATACTTTTTAGAGTAAAAAATATTACATTTCAAGATATACTAAAGAAAAATAGACAAGTGGGTACCGCTTTGCTGTACATTAGGTATCGTGTGGGTAACTTACAATATGTGCGTTAAATTTGAATTCAATGGTTTAAAATCACTGTAAACGAAAAACAATTCTGAGCGAAAACTGTTTGTCAGTATATTACTATAAGTACTATAAGTGATATTATTGCTATTAAAGTAATTAATTTTACTATTAGATATTATTATAATAAAGAAAATTGAATTAATTTTTTCAAAAAAAAATGGACATAGAACTATAAAATTTGCAAATTTTGACAATTTGACGAGATGAAAAATTATTTATCAACAATAATAATAATTATTAATAGAAAAAAACTTAATAAAATCTAAAATTTCTCATGGCTATAAAGAGTTCATAAATAGTCATGATATTTTTAAAATGTTATCAAAATATAATGAGAATTGTCCTATAAATATTTTGTACAAATATGAAATATCTTCGAGTTTTTGAGTTACACCTAAGGATAGTAATGTCTGAAACAAATAACTCTTAGTGGAGCGAAGAAGGAACAATTTTATCTTGCACGCTACTACAAAGATAAGGACATGACTAGTTTAGAAGCAGGCTGAATTATTATTTCCATTCATGGGGTCCCACAGACCACAACCTATTATCTACCCTAGCCCCTTAGAGCCTAGAGGTCTTAATTCGGGTTTGATAATATGGGTAACTACTAACTAGGTACGTTACAATATATTATACAGTATAGTTTGAGGTAGATAATATTATACATAATTTAATGTTTATATTATTGCCATTATTATTATAAAGAGTATAATATAATAATTCAAATATCGACTTACCTCCAAGAATTTTAACATTTTACCAGCAATCCCAATGGGTATTTTTGCGATGTGACGCCATCCCAACCCCTTGGTATCTACTACGATAACCATACCGTCACACGTACCGTACTTCAAAAGCGTATAGTTCATCCACATCGTGAGGTATTTGAAAAGTGGTAAGTATTCAAACATTTCATGGTCAGTATCTTGAAACATCATAAATAGAACTCGATCATTTTTGTCCGTGTTAACAGTAGGCATTTGACCAATACTCCTGCATAAATTTAAAGGATAAAACTAAATTTATTTATGTATATGATATATATCTCGTCACAAAAAAAGTAATTAGCCACGAAAAAGCTCGATATTTCTTATCGGTGGATTTAAAATCTCACCACACGTAATTTTATGATCCTACATCAGATATCTAAAAGCTTAGTTCAAAATTTAAATAATTAAAACCAATACTTAAAGGTATTCTTTCACCTGGACATAGGTTATATCGAACTACATATATATTATTATCTCGAACACTCAATTACCTATTTTTTTTCAGTAATTATATGTTTAGGATTACAATTAGCTAAGTATAGATAATTATTCATTATAAACAAGGAGATTTTGTTTACAACATTTATTTCCTCAGTTAAAGTTGTTGTGTTATTTGAAAAATATTTTAGTATGCAATTCTTCAATTTATAATATGTAACATTGCAAATACTCTTAAAACTAGAGATTATTTTTTATAAAAATATCATATTATCATCAACGTGATTTACATTTATTGTTTGTAAATATTATTTATCAGTCTACTGCAGAGTATTGAATAATGGCAATATCTAATTTTTTACTCACTTACATAAGTACCTACCTACGCTTTACTGATTAATGATTATTGATTAGCATCGAGGTTGTCAACTCAATGCATATAGTAATATTGGTTTAATAAATTATTCTGAAACTTCAAAGGACATTAAGCAAACAAATAAACGCATACACAGTAAACTCATTTCATACAAATCGAATCCTAAAAATAATAATATTACTATTACTATTATGTCGAATACAAAGATATGTAGGTACTTGAGTAATTTGAACCAATCAACAAATAGGACTAGTCATCATTTCAATTGGCTAAAGACTGTCTATAAGTTTTTAAATTAATTACTAAGCAGCATTAATGCACATTAACATAACTAAAAATAATTTTTTTCAAACAAGCGTAGTTAAAAAATTTACAAATATACATAAGATTCACAAAAGTGTTTTGACAAAAACTTATCATCACGCATACTGAACGCGTACAATGAACTCCATAAAATTAAAAATTTTCTCGGTGGTTCATTTTTAAAAAATATCAGTCATTACTCATTAGCTGCCAGTAGTGAACACTTAATACGAACACTAAATGGGTACCACTCTTGGTTTGAACTTAAAATTTTACACTCATGAATAACCGATTTCAAGTAATCGTTTCGTGACTCAAAGCCGTCACTTACAGATACCTATACTATTGTAGAGAAATCATGTGATTTCCTGTAACACCACTAAAAAATTAAGGGTGTTAAATAAAATACAAGTAGCTTAATAAAAAAAATGTGTTTTCTATCTAATATGATAATGATGAAAACATTTATATTAAACTCAAACTAACAAAATTAAAAATTCTATTTTAATAAATTTAAAAAATATAGGTACCATCTGCGGTAATTCAAAATCAAATAGAACGCTTATTAAATGTTCTTTTTTCAATTAAAATAAAAATATACGTTGTCAGGGCAGCAAAATTGGCAACACCTGATATACCAGCACGAACAAATTGTGAAATCACCTACCCAATGGAAGTCAGGGAACTAGTAAAAGAAAAGAGAAAAGCGCGGAAAAAATGGCACCGAACGAGAGATCCATCGGATAAAACTATTTGGAACCGCGCTAGTAAACTTTTACATAATAAGATAAAAGAAGTCAAAAACGAAACGTTCAAATCTTACTTGAGTAACCTTTCAGCAACAAAAGACTCTGACTATTCGTTATGGAAGGCTACAAAACAAATGAAAAGACCTAGAGCCTATGTACCACCAATTCGCAAGGAAGATGGATCATGGGCACGTTGTGACCAAGACAAAGCTGAAATGTATGCACGTCATCTGGAACATGCATTTCAGCCGAACAATATCGCTTCTGAACTCGATATAGAACAGAATCAACCATTGAGCGAAACACGCGAAAAGATTAAGTACTTTACTCCAATTGAAATTGCTAAAGAAATCGATACGAATATCAATATAAAAAAAGCACCGGGCTACGATCAAATAAACCCGAAAATACTGAAAGAACTACCCAAAAAGGCTATGATTCATCTAACACACATCTACAATGCCATCTTGCGTACAGAATACGTTCCTAAACAATGGAAACGAGCTCAAGTCATCATGCTACTTAAACCAGGAAAACCTCCTGAACAAGTAACTTCATACAGACCTATATCGCTTCTTCCAAGCTTATCTAAATTATTCGAAAAATTACTTTTAAAGCGTCTAAAACCAATAATAGAAGTAAAACAGATTATTCCTGAACACCAGTTCGGATTCCGGAGTAAACACTCAACAATTGAACAGGTCCATCGTGTCACAAATATAATAAACAAGGCACTGGAAGAAAAAAAATACTGCTGTGGAGTATTCCTCGATATTGCGCAAGCTTTCGATAAAGTTTGGCACAAAGGATTACTTATTAAGCTACGCGAACAATTGCCGCATACTTGGTGCGCACTTATCGAGTCCTATCTGTCTGAACGTCAGTTCAGAGTTATTCACGAAGAAGCAATAACTGACTGGAAAAACATATCAGCTGGAGTACCCCAAGGAAGTGTCCTCGGACCTATTTTGTACTTACTTTACACAGCTGACATTCCAGTTAACAACTATTCAATGACAGCCATGTTTGCCGATGACACAGCAATATTGGCAACTGATGAAGATCAGCAGACTGCGACTGATCAACTTCAACGAACACTTAACAACGTCTCCAACTGGACTAAGCGTTGGAAAATCAAAATTAACAGTGACAAATCGGTACACGTAAATTACACTTTGCGTAAAAGTGTTTATTGTCCAGTAATGTTGGATCAACAGATCATCCCACAGAACGATGCTGCAAAATATCTAGGAATGCACATTGACTCGCGATTAAACTGGAAACATCACGTTCGACAGAAAAAGTTGCAAATTAAAGATAAATTGAGGAAACTTTATTGGCTAATCGGAAGACACTCTGAACTAGACCTTACAAGCAAACGTCTTTTGTACGTAGCGATAATTAAACCAATATGGACCTATGGAATACAACTTTGGGGTTGTGCCAGTAAGTCCAATATTGAGATTATTCAACGCTGTCAAAACATTGCTCTCCGTACTATTGTCGCAGCGTACCGGTACGACAGAAATGACACTATCCACCGAGACTTGATGATGCCCTCAGTCCAGGACGAGATTACAAAGTTTGCCCGAAAACACGAGATAAGGCTAGATCAACACACCAATCCAGCAGCAATTCAACTACTTGACAACTCTCAAGACATAAGGCGTCTCAAACGCCGAAGACCATATGACTTAGTATAAAATGTTAGACTAAGACCGGGCCTCTCCATTGGGAGTGATAACCCAAACATGTTTTTGTTTATATATATCTATAAAATATTATTCATTAGTATCTTATATTTATGTATACCTCTGAAATGTATTGTTAAAGATCATTGATCGTTATAATAAAAAAGCCATCAGGCAGTTTCAAAAAAAAAAAAAATAAATAAAAATATTATTGACTTTGTATTAAATAATACATTTTCAAATCATTTAAATAAAAATAACAAATGTCTATCTAAGCAACACAAATAACATAATATATTGTAAGACACTTTTCAGACTACGTTATTTTTAGTTTTCCCAATTTGTTTATTAACACTGCGAAAAATTACACTTGTAGGGCCTAAGGAGGCAGGGCTAAGATACAATATCCATGTCAAATTTCCAATTTAAAGATGTCTGAAACATTTAAATTGCCTACCTAATCTTTCAAAGAACACTATTACAATTAAACAACACTTAATGGTGTACCAATAATAGGTTCAGACTCCATTGAGTATCTAAAAGTGATTTTTCTTATAGTGAAGAGGGTAGGGGAAATTTTAGTTGTTAGAGGGCACGCCACAGTCACATCATATAAATTATAAACACGGATTTGAATCGACTTATATTCTTTACTCTATGGCTAATTTACCATAATAATAATAGGTATGTTTATCGATTAATCTTCCAGAGCATTTTAGGATTTTTGAACCCAAATTTAAATTTGAAATATTTTTTTAAGATTTTAAGATTACATGATCTGTATACCTATACATTTAATAAGCTAAAAGTAGGCTCGTATATTATATTATCTGACAATAGTAAGGTGAATGTCAAACATCATGTCTAATCTGTTGAAGCTGCAATAAATCTGACGATATCGTTTAGTACGTATTCAGCTGTACTGTCATAAAAAATAAAAATTTCAGTAAATTTTTACTTATAATAGTTTTAATAAATATAATATAATTAAAAATGCCAAAAGTAAAATGTTCGACGGTGAGTCAAAATAATTATTTTTCCGGATTAAAAAAATCCAAAACTATCAGTTGTGTCTATAAAACTTTTTTAAAATTTTATAAAATGTATATACTCAATATACATTTATATCAAAATTATTAAAAATTTTAGTGCGTTATTTAGAATTTTCAGGGCATTTGTCGGGTTTTCAGACGTTAAAATTCCAGTCATGACTATTATTTCCTCAATAAAAAAAAAAATGTTCAATAATAAATAACAAGTAAACTAATCTTAGTTGAATTACTTACAAGCAATTATAACTCAATTCTATATCATCATCTAATGGATCCAATTCGCAAAATACTTTTGGAATTCTAAAGTGAAACCTGTAACATCTCTGAATGGTCTTTCTGGCTAATTCTATATCAAAATGACAGCTGTGTAGAAATGCCAAATATTTTTTGTCTGAAAAAAAACATCTATTATCATTAATCAAGTAACTAAATAATTTAACCATAGTCATGTTTTATGACTACGGATAAAAAAATTAATGTCTGATGAAACTATTTAACTATATAATAGATATGTGTATATATTGGTAGGCGCCTATACTATACATATAACTATATAAGCATGATAATATTCTGTTCGCACATTTCGAAGCTATAAAAATACTTTTTAATACATTTGCAGAAGGTAAAATATTATCTTTAGTTTAAAATGCATTATATGAGTTACGTACCTACTAATTACTATAAGTATTTATGTAAGTATCTACTTGGTAATATAAAATATATGTAATCAAAAAATAATTTATATAGCATTTTGAGTTAAAAATAACACAAGTTTAACTCAATATATTAACATAATCAATATTCAACTAGGTACATACGTAAAAAATCTAAAAACATATGTAATTTTTTTAAATTAATAAAATTTTTTTTAGTATAATTTAACAGAGATAATAAATTGACAATAAATAATCTAATCATTCTAAAAACAAAAAAAAAATAGTTTAAATAAAACTAATAATAAAATACCTAAACTAGATATTAAAAATTTAAAAATTTAGGAAATAGGTAAATACAAGTGAATACTATTAACATGTTTAAATAGACAAGGACCATAAATTTACGCAAGTAGCCATGACATATGCGGGTGAATTAATTATTAGAACAAATCATTAATATATTTAAATCACTTTGAAAAGATGACCTTTAATAATTTATAAAAGATGTTATGTCATTGTCTTTATTGTTTAAAGACTATGCAAATTTATGTAAAAGCACTATTTATATAACATTTGAGAACAAATAATTGATTTGTAACATTTGTGTGCTTACAATTTCGTAAATCGTTATAAAGACCATCTTCGATTTAACTAGTGGCTTTCTATAACTGCCAAGCTCTACTAAGACAAGAATATAACATGCAATTCAAAAATTCTGTAAATAACAACTAAATTTCTCACAGTGAAAATTATTTGTATTAATACATATCAAGGTATTAGATATATGTATAACAACATTGTATTGAAGTGGAAATCATCGTTTTTTTTTTTTTTAATTTTTTCAAATCATTATCAGTTAATGTGCCTAATAAAAATACCACTATAATACATGTAATAATGTTTAGGGATCAAAATTTCCAAAGTTTTCCGAAAAATTAACAAAATTGAGAAAATTTGGTTTCATTTAAATTTTCGAAAAAATGGTTTTGACGAAAATAATTGACTCTTCGGAAAATTAGACAATTTCATGAATAAAAATTTAAAATGTTATACATATAAAGTGGAAGAAATCCAATAAATAATGATAGTTGATAATCATTATACATTAAAAGTTTCTGGGAATACACTCTTCCACATAAATATTTGATAGGTAAAATTATTTTTAGGACAAATATTGAAATATCCGTATTTATAGTTAATATACCCACAATAATGATTTGTATTACACCGTATTGACAAATTTAAAATGACGACAGGTGTCTTCATCTATTTTTTTAACTAAGCTCTTTCTTATTCTTAAACTGTTTTAAGCTTAAAAATAATTTTTTAATTTTTAAAAAAAATCCGTATTTTTTATTTTCTGAAAATGTTGGTATTTTTAGAAATGTATTATTTTAATAATTTTCCGAAGCTCTAAGAAAAAAACTGTTTATTTCCGACGTTCTGAAACTTTTTCGACATTTTGATCCCTAATAACGTACAAGTTAAAAGTTGCAATGTAAAAATTATGTTCTAAATATTTAAAATACTAAAATACATTTGATTATTGGTTTTTAAATAAAATTATAAATATAAATAATAATTTATAGGCATCAATAATAATTATAAAAACTGTTTTGTATAAATCTTTGTCATGACATTTTTACTATTTATGTTTTTCTTATTAGTTGGCATGTTATTGCTTAAAGTTGTATTTTTCTAAAAAATAACTTATAATAACTATTCAATACATTTATACAAATCATTTATCAGTTTGTATCAGCTAGTATTTTGTATTCATCGACAGACGACAAGGGCAATTGATAATAACAATCTAAAATAAAAACTACAAAAGTCAAATCATTATCAAAGTACACATACCCCTTAAAAAAGTCACAAGATTATCAAAAAAAAATATATAAATAAAAATAACAATAATTATGCTAAAAACCTCAAATAAGCAAAAAAATGTTAAGTTTTAAATATTTTTGTTCAAATTTAGAAGTAATAATAAACGTAAGTTAAATTCACGTATGCCACGATAATTTTTAATAATGATTGTCTATTAGTCATTACTCATTACCTAAACCTTACTCATTATTCTGGTACAAATTAAATTTATTATGTAAGACAGGTTTGCGAGATCTTATCCGTTAAAAGTAATTATTATCATGTTTTGCATAAAAAATAAATTATAGATTATTGATCCTGACTCGCAAGCAACTGATCGAACTTAATAATTTGTTGCATCGTATTTTACATTCGTTGCTAAATTCAATAATTCTTGTTTCCAAATCATCTATGTGTTACCCTATTACCTATATCGAGTGGGCGCTTGTATAAAATGCGCCCACATTGAACCGGTAATCAAAATACTATAATAAATACTAAATTGCGCCCAGGATTTTTCCGGGTCTAAAATGGGTAAAGTAAATTGCGCCCATAGTACCTAATCCTATTATACACCTATTGTACATAGTAAACACTTTATATAATGATGTTCATTTATTGGTGGATGAGCCAAATGTTTATCGCTATAATCTTTTAGATGTCAATTTGAAAAAAATCGAAAAAATTATTCACCAATACAATGAAAACACTATTAGGAGGGCTGAATATCTGAAGACAATGTCTCATTATTATGAAGATAAGCCATAAGTTATAACTGTATTTTTTATTATTAAAATGTTTAGCAAAAAATATGCCGCTAACGGAGAAACATTTCAAATAAAAAATGAGGTGTGCGGAGGGCAGGTTAACATGCCCGGGGAATCGCCCTGTTTATTATATTGGTACTAACCCGATATAGGTGGCAAATTCTCGTCATCTTCTAAGCTCTCCTTTAACTTCTGAATGTCGTCTAACTTGAGCTCCGGATATTTGCTCTGCTCCACTTGCAGGTATTCACTGAACGGTGTCGAAGAGGAATACGTCATGTCAACGAGTTCTCAATACGTATATAAAGGCTAAAGTAACACTATATGAAATAAATTATAGCTATTGTCACCGATATTCACGAAATAAAATGCAACAATTTGTTTGTTATCTGTAGTTGTACTCATGAAATTTGTGAGTATCCCTCGAAAACTCGAACGAAATAGTATTTACCGATTTCACGTGAACGGTGTTGCGCACAAACCGTCCGCGATATTATTGCAGATCGTGTCGTGTATATTAAAATAATATGAATTATTATAGTCTCGTAAATCGTATCCTAGCCTGTCGAACGACCAAGACACTCTGCGAGTCAAACTCCAACCAGTTTATTGGCAGTTATATGTAGATAGGTATAGAATATAATATTGTAATGGAATAATAATGTATCGTATAATATGATATGCACCAACTTGGAGAAGGGCAAGGTCAACATGAACGCCGCCGTGATAATATGAGCATGAGAAACAATAGATCCCATTCAGTACGTATGCAACGTACATAAAAATTTTTATTTTATGATAAAATATATAGGTATACTAAGTAGGGTTTCTACCTTGTTTATCGAAAGAGTATTATTTATACATAGTGTCACGTCAATTTTTTCAATATAATATTTTAGGTTCTGATACCGAATCGTTTTGCAATGATCTTTATTTGTGTGTGTATGTGACTTAAGACATTTGTATGATAAAAAAATGCTTCAACATTTTAAACTTTGAGGGTGACGTCTGGAGGCAAATAAGTCAGTAAACGAGTGTGAAAAATGACAATTCCATGTACTTTTTTTTAATATTTGGAAAAAAAACAGAAATATTTACTTCTGCAACACCATTTATCGTTTTTGACAAACTTGAATTTGTTATTTTCTTATAACTCATAGTTAAAAAATGAATAACCATGGATACTTTAAATTGCCATCAAATATTCAAATTAGCATTTCTTAGACATGGTATAATTTTTAAGTCTTTTGATTCTTTTTCATTACATGACATTTTTAATTTTATAGTATAATATATTATTTTATTTTTATACTTAAATATATTATCCTTTACGAAAAAACTTGAAAATGTAATACACGGTTCATCAAAATGTCTACTTATAGTGATTTAAAAATATCGAATATATTATATTATGTATAATTTTCTTTTATTATCGTTTGTGATTCAAAATTTGACAAAATTGCACATTTAAATGAAAAATTAAGATGAAAATTATTTTTTTGTAATTCAAAATAAATTATTTGTAGAATTTAACATTATTTAGTAGTTTAGTATTTACCTAAATATTTACTGTATTATATTTATAATACAATTATTTACTCTACCCAATACATTTTTCGAAGTTCTTAGGTTAATAATAAATTAATAACTGATAAGGTATGTGTGCTATGAAATTACCAACCTATTCGCGCCGTTATCGTTATGACGTGTGTACTTTTCAGTATTAAAATACTTAAGAATTAGGTCTTCATCTATTTTTTCAATATATTTTTTTGCACATATGTAGTATAATATTTTGTCCATATAGACTATTAGCAGTGATTTTAATATTCTTTTTTTAAATATGCACTCGATAACTCATAATAAACACGTTCTGAATGACGACTATAACCCTGTAAATACTACACTTCAAATTATATATAATACAAAAATGTTATAAACAAATGATTTGTAAAACCGATGAGAAAACACTAAGTAATTATCACAAGATAATTAGTATACGTCATACTTAAAAATCAATTTGGTTAATTCATATAAATTCAATGCTTGTATTTTAGTAATTATTTCTCATAAGTATTTTAGAAAATATATTAATTGGTTATTTGTTAATCGTATCATACTAAATTAGATTTAATATTGTATTACTATTCAATACCATTAATTATTAGTATTAAACAATATACTTAAATGGGTAGGTACCCAATGAGTAAATAGTAATATTAACCATTGTGGTGAAAACTTGATAAATACGATTGTATAAAGTTGATTTCATTAATATATTTTTGATCTATACACATATATTTAATAAAAAACATATACATTCATAGCACTAAGTCGGTGCATTTATTATAAAATAAACGTAGGGACATTTTTACGTGCAATTTATCATACAGAGTACCTATCAAGGAGAACTACTTGTTTCAGTTATATTTTGTTGATATGGTTTTGCGTTCTAAATACTCCTTAATAGTTGTACAAATATAACATTATGTGCACCTATAGGCATAAGTACAATGTACACACATTTATGCAGGTAGTAAATCGCAGAACCAGGATTAAATATATTATTCATTTGACTACATAAGTATAATAATTTTATTTTTATTGGTCAGAAATACACCAGAAAGCAGAGGCTATTAGTAGGTACTAGGTATATTATATGGAATAAAATATACAAGAACGGTTTTTATGTAAGTACTACTTTTAAAGTTTTTTTTTACAATGGTTTTTTTGTTCCTTCTGTGTTTGAAGAGGAAACAAAGTTTAAATCTCCCATGAATTAAAAAATCAATATTTATAAAAACATTAAAACCAAATTATAAGATGTAAAAAAAAAATAAAACAATTGAATATAGTATGTTTAAAAATTCACCACACAGAAGTAAATCTGTATAGTAATCTGTAGACTGTATCATATATATATATATATGTATGTACTCATGCCAGCATTGTTAATGGTCAAAGTACAAATTGTTAACAGACACGAATAAACATGATAGGAAGATAATTAACTAATTTCATAAGTAAATGAATCATTAAACAAAAAACAAACATACATTTTTTCAGCGCACTACTGCAATAACAGAACACACTATACGATGGTCAAACATACTCTTATCATATAAATATAATACTATTTACAATACTCACGCCGGTAAACTATTAATTACAATCAAAACCACACTTCTGGTATTAGATAATAACAATACAATAATTATGAAGCATTAAAAAAACTTTGATACAATACAGTTGGCTATAGATCAGACTTACTATGTTTAGTACGTCGTAAGATGCCTAACCTGGTTAGGTAATTGAATCTAGTTGGTTCTTTGAGATACGTTCCTATACTAATTTTCAAAAAAATCGATTTTGCTTTTTAGTTATGGTTCATAAAGGAATAACCACGTATACTTGAAATATTCTCCGAATATTAATGTTAGCATTCAGGCATTCTATAAAGTGCAAATTTTCTAATAATTTTTGGTATACAAGATCACAATTTTTTTATACATTTTTGAAGTACATTAAGTTTAAAAAAATATATATTCCAACGTAAAATAACGATTTTCCCTGAAACGGTTTTAGTTATTCTGTTATAATTAAAAAAATATATATTATAAATACAAACAATCCAATATTACTTGAATATATTATACTATAATTGTATGTACATTGACTAACCTATGTGCATAATGACATTTTTTTAATATTTAAATTAGTTTAAGTCATTTAGTTAAGTCCCTGTGAACAATTAAACATTACATGTTGTCATTGTATGTTAATTCGATAATAATTTTATTTTTCTACATCTTAAACTGCGATAGAATTGTGCTATGTAAATCTTATTATCCTTAATTATAATTTATGCAGAATCTTGTACTACTATTTACTTATTTAAATTGGACGAATCCGGAAACATAAGCAATACGAAAGGACAAGTGAAATATTATGTATTACACTCGTTCAACACGTTTTATTTATCTTTATGTAAATAATAAATTTTTCATTATTGATGATCTGTAATTTAACACAATTTTGCAATTTAAATTCAATTCAATATGTTAAGGTAGAAATGATTTTATATAAATTTACTGTGCAAGTAGGTACTCAACAATTAAATATGCAATCTAAAATGTATTTTTATAAACGTGTTACGTATAATATAAAGGAATCGTTAACGCAAATTACTATATTTGACGCAAATTACCTATAGGTACTTAATAGTTTTAAACCATATGTGTACATGGATCTTAAAACTAAAAGACTATCATTATAAGCACCTCATCATCAGTTTTAAATTCCAAACCAAAACCAGTATTACATATATATTTTTTTATTAAAAATTAATTATAATCTATACAAGTTTAGGCGCATTATGCTATCGTGTTGACATGGAATTAGCATTAGCGGAATAAAGATGGGTCAGTATAATGTCCCAAGTACGAGTATTTCCACCCGATAGATAAAAATCATTTTTATAAACTTTCCTTTATACTTTGATATGCATGTTTTTAACATGACAATTAATTAGTAATTACCGATTTCACCTAATTCAAATACCACAATACTCATTATATTATTACAATACCTAGTTGAAATATTCAATTATCACCTTTAATTAAACTAATAAACATAATATTTTACTAATTTGTATGGACGAATTAATTCAGTTTTTATGTGAAAGGTATAACGTCAAATCTTGCTAAACGAGTATGTTATTCAAGGCTGGAAGCTTACAAGTTTTTATCATATTTAATATTTTTCATTCTTTATTTTAATTGCTATCACCTTCATGCAAATTTTAGTATTAGATTTGATACTTTAAAACCATAAAATACATTGAAACATTATTTTATACATGAATTTTGACTTCAGAACTAATGAATGTTAAATTTTAATTTTAATAACCACCTGCTAAATTAGTTAAATTATTCAATGATTTTCATATAAATATTTAACACACGTTTTAACATTATTATTTTGGCCGCATTAATTATAACTATTGTTTAATCAAAAAAATTGTCTTATGTAATATTATATACCTAGGTATTTATATTGTATCTTCATAATACGGTATACGAGTACCTATTTACTTATTATAGTATTGATATAAGTATTAATTTTATAATTATGGTAATAATTAACAATTATATATAAACCGTTGGACGTCAATTTTATCAGCATAGAATTTTGAATTATTAAAAACATTTAATTTTTATTATGGTGTCAATGATAATTTATTCAAAAAATTGATATGTTCGAGAAAATAATAATTTTTTATTTTGGAGTTTAAATAGGTACTTAATTATAACTCTTTTATTAAACATAAATAATCATTTTTTTAATGATTATTATTATTTTACAAGATAGTTGTACGATCTGTGCATATTATGTTATGCAACAAATAAATGTGATAAAAATGTAGAATACATTTGAAATGTGTGAGATGAGAAAGACACTAAATGGTTCACTCCCAACTATGATGAAACAACTATCTTGAAAAATGGCCTCATACCATTCTCGTTTTAGAGGATGTTGTGAATGTTTTCAGAAGATAATGCGAAAACTGGTGGATCTGAGTGCAAGAAATCTTTTGCGTGGTACCTATTTAAAGCATGCGTACGTATAAAGAAGTTTCTATAATGGTAGGTATATTTTTATTTAAAAATATCTATATTCTACATACTGTTTCATTGGAAACGTAAGATTGAGTTTTTAATATTGTTCATACTTTCATAGAATTTAACTATTTGAGTTGTATACATTTTTTTTTTTATTGATCTGGAAACAAAACTCGGCAGCAAGGGCCATTAGTTTATATTACTTTTATAATTATGAATTGGAATTATCTACTTTTTACACCTGACCTGACTACCAAGGTATAAGATACAATATGCTACCAGAAACCAAGTTCAATATTGAAGATTTTACCTAGTGTCTCAAAAAACACTAAAAAAACGACATCATAAATAGACAAACATATTTGTAAAACAAACCATCCATTGCTCCACTGAGAATCGAATACAACGAATTGTGTAATAAATAGTATCAAAAATTGTACATGATTCACGCGATTAACTGTTGAAGACAAAAACAATTTGGAATGTCTGGTACCTACTGCCTATGTACAAATATATAAGAACATATATCTTTATAAGTTGTAATATTACCTATAACTATTGATTTTACTTTCAACAATTAATATAATAAATAATCATCAATTTTTCTTTTAACATCTTATACTTATAAATCTTCACAAGAGTAACTCATTACTTTTTATACTTTGATAGTTTTTCTTTATAATTATTATTTCAATAATACAATTATATAAACATACAAATTAAGATAAATAAAATAATATACATTTGTCAATTAGTATAATAATTATAAAATTAAACTAAATTTTATACCACCTTCATATAGGCACATTAAATAATATTTATAACTTAAATAATATGCACAATCATTTGATAAATTAAATTGAACAAGTTATTATTTATTGTTTTACAAAAAGTATTGAAAATCTGTTGAACTCCAATAGACGTTTGTGTGACCTATTATAAATATATTAAATTGCTTTATACTCTATAATTTGAACTAAAAATGTTAAAATACCCTAATGTAAGTGGTTATATCTACTCCGTAGCATGTATCATGTATGATTTCATTGTTAGCGCATTATATAAAAAAACAAATATGATTTCATAGTTGAATTATTAATTTATAGAGACAAAATATAATCACGAGCAGAGAGCATTTGATTGTACGTTTCTTCTGCAAACACAAAAAATATTGATCAAATACAGAAAAAAAAGTTTGTCTGAAATTTTAATTCTTATAAAAACCTAATGTAAGGTTAGGTTATGTTATGTTGTGAATTACCAGTATATTCATAATGTGATTTTCCATTGCCCCCCATTTCTTGCGGCATTATATCGATGGGTACGTGATTGAAAATTTCGGTTGAATTCTCAGGAAAAACTTTCAACTAAAATACAAAACATAACTCACATCATAAACATAATCTTTTATCCGTATTTGTAATTTCGATATAATGAATTATAAAACTTAAAGTAGTTAAGTGTTTCAGATTTAATTTATAAAATATTTTTGTTGCTGTTTGTTTTGTTCTGTTCTGTTCTGGATCATCTTCACGTGTTGCATGTTTCATTGAAGCTAAGTTTTAATTGTCAATACCTCAAATTCTGTGTATATTTAATAGATCGTAATATAGTTTATATAAATAAAAAATTAATCAAAAAACATTACTGTTGACGTATCCATTTTCTTTTTTAGTTCCTAATATAAAGTAGAGTAGTGTTGAATGATAATTCAGCACAAATGCTTGTAGGTACCTATATGATAATTATTATTGAAGTATCAATAAATAAATAAAATATCTAAACAGCTTTCAACGAAAAGTAAATATATCTTCTTGATGAATAAATTAAAATTGAAAAAATTAAAAATTAAAAAATATAATATATTTAAATTAATTCTAGGGTTTGTCCCGTGCTTATGAATTAAATTAAATTAAAACGACTTGAATACTTACCAGGTTCATAAGATTACTCTTCATAAACGGTCTTATTATGTTAAATAGCATACTAATTATTGATCCAGCATTTAAAACATGCACTTCTTTAAGTCGCACTGGCAATGCTTCCTTGAAAAACAAAATTAAAGTTAAATTTTACATTTTGCGGTTTTTTTTATAAATACTATCTGCTTGTGACTAATATTATTTTATTAAAGACGTTATCTTTCAGAAAACTCTGCACACATCGTAATATAGGTAGGTGTTCAAAACAATCGAAACTGATAACAATATTATTTAAAAACTAATAAAATAAAAATAGATATATGAAGTTTAAGTTAATATTAATAAATTTCGGTTAATATGAGTTTCAAAATAATATGAATTAATATTTATCTTTTATTGAATTTATAACCATGTGTAAGTATAAATAATATTGGGAATAGTAACTGGTAGTGAATGGTGCCTGATGTGAATGACATATATAAGGATTAAGTAATATATGAACTAAATTATTTTTATAACCTAATGTTATATTTTGTATAAATTATAAACTGTGCAACATAAGGTTATAGGTTATATACTAAACTATGTTATAGGTTATACTCTTAAGGTTAGCGTCGTCGTTACTTCGATGTACCTACTATAAGTGTATAGGTAACCTTAAGGTTTTCAGATTTGTATTATGATTTATGGTGAATAAAATATATTCATAGATTTCATTATAAATTATAAATAATTTTGACCTGCTATAAGATTACCGACACTTAGCCTAGCTAATAGACATTATAATATATATATATACCCGCGTCCTGCAGACTATGCAGTACACCAATATTTGCAGAATAATCGTAGTAATGATCACATAATATGTTTTTTTATGGTCAATAAGATCTGTAATTTATTAGAAGTTGGAATAATCCAAGAAATTAAAATCAAACTGTTGACGTTTTACGCACTTGTACGAATCCGAGTAATTTTTTCATTGTATTCATCGGCGTCTTGGTAATATGCCGCCAACATACGCCTTTACTGTTCATTGTTAATACCAGCCCGTCAAATGTGCCACTTGTAACCATCAAATATTCCAACATCATAAAAAAGTATCTAACACAACGCACGTAATCGTATTCTCGAGGATCGGTACTTTTGAAATTTGTGTAAAGGATGCGCTCTTGTTTGCCAGTACTTGGATTGTACACTATCGAAATGCTCCTATGTAAAAACAAAAAACCAAAAATCAATCTTCCTAAATTTCATAGGTATGGATATAGGAGGACTGTTTAAGATTATTTTGATATGTTCACTCCTGTGTCGTGAACTTTGCAGACAACGTTACGGTAATATAAACGTATTAAGGTAACAGTTTTTAATTATTTAAATTTTTGATCCTTTCTTAATCTTCATTTTAATAATCAGTGAAAATAAAAATATTTTTGAAATTCAGAAATCGATCGTTTCAAGTTCAAAAATCAAAATATTTAACGGATTGGTATCTAATTCGTACAAATTAAAGATTGCAAAAATAAAATGTAATAATAATCCATCTACTTCATACATTTACTTATTCAGTTATTTTGGAAGACTGATTCGATGTAATTGTTCTGCCTTTGACATTGTACAAGATAAAACGATCTAAATTTATAATTATTTTATGGCACACTAAATCTAGTTTTAAAAGTTATGAAGTCGACGGATAGTTATAATTTATAATATACGTAAATGTGGGTGGTATTTTGGTTTACATGTGTGGTATTAGAAAAATACCTAAAATACTGTATAGGTATTGACAATTATAGTCGTACCAATAATATATTAGTTTATTACTCACATGCTGTCGAAGACCTGTTTCATATCTTCAGACGATGGATCGTAATTTTCAAAAACTTGTGGCAGTTCTTTACGGTACTTGTAATTAGCAACGATTGTGTTATACGCCACGTCCACATCAAAGTAACTACTGTGGAGGAACATGACGATTAATTTTTCTATAAAAAATAACAAACAAGCGGATTATGGAAACGTAAATGCGTATAGAGGCTTTTGTATAATATGTAGTTAAAATTTGTATAGAATTTTAGAATATTAAAATACATATATTAGGAATGTATTATTGAACTCCATAACGTACATAACATGTATTTAAGGTTGCCTCAATTATAGGTAATTCTATAAAACCGTACCTCGTATAGGAGGTAAATCAGTGTTTTCTTTCAATCGCTCTTTTAGCGCCTCGATGTCTTTTAAATTTAATTCCGGATACTTTTCTTGTTCTGACTTCAAGAATTCTTCATAACTCGTTTCCGGCTTATACATTTTGTTGGACCTTGAATAGTTATAATAAATTACGTTGTAAGTAATTGGTTATATAGTCGTGGGTAAGTGTAACATCATAATTCATATTTCATTAGTGTTAAATTAAAACTATCTCTATCATCTTAACTGAATAGTTATAACAGCTATATACTATTCAGTTAAAAAAGTTATATAGCTGCATAGTATAATATACCGATATACTATAAACTAAACATTGTACACAGTACACAGCTGTTGACACACATTTCAGTATTAGTATACCAAACTAAGGTGAACTTAACAATTTTCTTACTGACGTGTTACGAAGGTCAAAGAGACTTTGGAACTGGAAATTATAATAATTAAAATACATAACATATTAACACGCCGACTACAGTCTACAGTAATCATGCTTAATACAATAATACTATAGACTGTGATAGCATAATATTATTAATATATTATATAAAATAATTATTGTTATATTATTACATTATTATTAAAATTAAAAGCATTGTAACGCATTTAATTATACTCTTTTAATTTTAATGTAGTAGGTACACATATGTCAAAACATTAATAATCATTTAAAAATACCAAATAAAAATGGATTTGTTTTTTTGGGAAATTGGAAATAGGAACAAAGGCAAACATTTTTACAATACATTCCGAACGTTTTGATGTTGTACTTATTCAATATATTATATTATTTTAACATTTTGACATTCATTACATTCTATACATAAATGGGGCACTCAACACCCATTATCTATGCTCTATACTCTATAGCTATAAGTTATAAGTGACAAACATAAAATTACATGTATACACTCAACACTTTTTGCAGTTTTTGGCTCCGTCCAAATTACTATAGGTGAGTATATTATCGAGGAGTAGTATTGTTCATACGGAGCCTACTCTACTATCAGTTAAATAGGAACAAAAAATTACTTTATTACTATTAGATATTAATAATACCTACTTGATATTGAAAGTATTCACACACATTTTCAACATTTTAGTGCTTAAGATATGTAACTCCTTCAACTTTTAACTTAAACAAGAACTTTTTTATTTAAATGAGAATTTGTATGTGTAGATAACACTATTAGTACATATTTATATAATACAATGTGTTTAATACTAAAATGACCTAATTCAAAATATTTAAAGACTTAAAAATTGAATTCCTGTATTTTTTTTTTAAATATATAAACGACTTCAGGTCACACGAATTTTTAACTTTTTTGTGTATGTGCAGCAAAGTAATATTATTTTGAATACCACTTTTTTTAGTTCGAATTTAAATTAAATTATTTTTTAAAAACATTGACTGATTGAGAGTAAGTTAAAGTATTGATTTATGCACGGATTCATCTCATTTGGACAGTCTACCTACAATCTTACAAATTATAGAAAATGTGAAATTGTATCAACTATAACAAGAATAACTTTGAAATATTTACTTACTTGAGTAAAAATTTATATTTCAAACATGATATAAAATAAGTTATACAATTTTAATACGTAAGACTTTTGTAGATAATTTAGTACGCGGTCAACAACCTTTTAATTGATAAAATGTAAAAAGAAATTCACCTTTAATAACATCATTGTTTAGGTATTTTAACCGCCATTTAAACGAAACATTTGATTGCAGAGTCTACATCAATAAAAATTATACTTTTGCACACTAAAAACTGCAAAGTCAAAGGTTTTTAAGTTAGGACTAATTATTAGACTAATGAAAATTAGCTAAACTGATAATCAATGAATATAAATCAATGCAAATAATAAAAAGACGTATTAACTAATGAAGCCAGGATAATATTTTAAAAACATAAAAAGATTATAAATTAAGCTTTTGAACGTTATCGGTTATTCGACGTCTATCTATATATTTAGTATTTCAATCGGCGATTATATAACAATGTACAGCATACAGTTAACATTCGTTCCCTGCTCATACAATGATGTCACACGTGGCGTATGGACCTGCAGGCTGCAGATAGGATCAATTTTTGCAAAAAAAAAATAAGTACAGATTTGTAAGACGTATATACTAACCCGGTATTAATTTCAGTATAAGTACTGCTGTGCATTCATTTCAAATTATTAGGTTTTATTATATGATAGGTAGTAATAACTAATAAGTACTCTTTATTTATAGAAAAAAAAATGTAATTTAAAAAATGTTGTCAATATTTTTCAAAGTATGAAATTCGAATACCTACTTATATAAAAGTAAAAACCAAATTTTTATTAACATTTATAGAAAATAAACTATAAAATATTATTTATAAGAAACTCAACAATGTTTAATATCCCTAAAGCCAACAATCAATAAATTCAAAATTTCAATATAACAATAAAGGATGTCTATTGCATAGATCACTAAGTGGACGTTACACAGACATCAATTTGTTGTCTCGCTCCCTCTTTTACAACATACATCTCATAAGCCTTTTACTATTATGTAATTTTAATGCAAATTATGAGTATTTTAAAATTCTAAATTGTTTATACATATAAATGAATAAATAAAATACTCATACCTTGCTTTAAAATTAAAATATAATGAAAAAACCTATGAGATACCCTAGATAATAATCTTAGCTTTAAATGTTATTAGACATCATTACACTCAAATTTTTTGAACTAATATTGAGCAAACCTTAATCTGCCGAGTGTAAAATTTGCTATGCTAAGCACTTGTAAAACAGTGACAACAAATGTCCACGGAACGTCCTCTCAAACCACACTCGGAGTAATGTATTGGAACTTAAGAGGTATACGGAGTGTATACTCACTTCTCTAGTGTTTTTTTTAGCCTATACTCTCTAAATTGACGGCGATACACGGGTATACGGCTGTATAATCTCGTATACCTAGTAGAATATTGGGTGATGAAAACAAAATGTTCTATAATTATTTGTAATTTTTACTTCTCGGATAGTATTTACTATTTACTATTCAATACATAATATTATTAGCTGATTATCAAAAAATATTTTGACAACCTTTTACCAGTTACAGATACTATATACCGGTATAAATATATTACATTTATTTTTAATTCGTTTTGCTTGTAAATTTATAATATATACAAATATTTATAAATTTATAATTATATATATATGTATATGAGTGTGGCCCCATATGACATAAATGCATCCATGCAGGTATAACTATATGAATATATACATAACATTAACATAATTTATATAAATTATATTCTCCGTAGCTCAAATTCTCAATTCTTAACTCTCAATCATTTCTTTATAACAATGTTCGTTCAAATTAATTTTGTCGTACTATGTGAACGTGAGTAACAAAATACAATTCACAACATTTGGGATCAAACTCCTACTCTACATTTTTAGTGCATTTTATGGTTTTTAAGGTCATAATACATTTTATTTTAAGGGTATATTTAAAACAAAAAGTCGTTGTGTGGTGTCCTTGTATTTCATTCAGTTAGTAGTTGAAAAATACTTGTATAGTCCTATTCCGATACTTATAATAAGGTTTTTAAGTTTAATACACCTCAAAGTAAAAAAAAATTATTTTGACTTAATATTAAGATTATATCATTGACAACTAATTCGATTTAACAGCTTCAAGAAAGCGTGTACCCACAACTATTTTTAACAATACACTACTGCTCACTCCTGTACTCATCAAAATAATCTGAATTCAAGGAAAACTTATATCTTGTGTATTATTTTGAATACTTAATTTGTAGATCAGTTTCAATATAATATAAGATTATTAATATAGGATTTAATGAAATTCCTACCAATCCTGGTAAAAGTTGAAAAAAGTTGAAAGTTCTATTTTAAGTTATAGCTAAGTAAAATACAATTTTGGAATAATCGAAAAATTAAATTATTATTATTTTGATCTTCTTCATATATTACACAGGCGGACACAATAATAATATGATACTCTATTGCATATTTATTTGTATGGGCCATAGGGTACGCGACTTATTCCTACAATAATAACATCGAATAGAATTGAATATTGTATCACCATCATAAAAATAAGTTACTGTAATAATTATAGATATTTAAAGTTACAATTGCCGGTGTGTAGGTACAGACTTAATTTTGTTATTGTTTATAAATAATATATTTCCGGGTAAGTTGCAGGAATAATAACCATATAGTACGTTTTGAAATCAATATTTGTGAATATAGTTAAAATGGTTAAAACAAAAAATTACTTTAACCGGTTAGTGGTAATATGTAACTTAGGAATACCGATTATAATAATAATATCGAATAATAATTTCCGGTTTCATGATTAGTACAAAATACAATTCACAATCCGTTGTACGGACTCGTAAGTTTTACGTAATTCATATAATTATTATGAAAATAGTAATAACATTTAAGAGGCTCAGGGTCGTCTATATAATATGCGTAGAGACTCGTGGGACTCCTATCTATAATCTGAAACATTTAAAAGGTTTGATTTTGATTAAGAAATAAAGGTAAATATTAAAATAACTCGTAAACAAATTTTTTGAATTGTTAATATACACAGCATGGTTTTTTTCCTTTATAGTATACGTATAAGTTGAAATAGACAGAAATTTAAATTAAAAAAATTACAGTTCTGTGTGAAAAAATACACTTTTTAACTTACTTTACAAATATCACAAAACTGATGTGACATTTGCAAGGCTTGCCTAATTTGATATCCCAATTATTAAAAGAAAATAATTTATTAAAAGTGAAATTACTGAATCAAAAGATGTCGTCTCTTCTATAAAGTGTTTCAACTATATGAAATATTATAATATGAAGTAGCTAATAAAAATTGTTCTATCTAATAAGTCTAATAGTTAATCTATCATCATTTTCACACACTTTGTATAATGTACATAATATGCAGAAACCTGACCCCTGAAATCTTCACGACTTCACCATAAAATAAACTTAGCTCTTTACTTATTAGTTATTAATGTATTATATTACGTAAAATAACATAAAATAATAAAATAAAATAATATAAAATTATATT